ACTGGTAGAGGTCCTGGTTGTTACCAAGCAGGTGAATTCTATTCTCAAAGAATAGAATTTACCTGCTTGGTAACAACCAGGACCTCTACCAGTTAGTTCATAATTTGGCCCTTAAGCATGGGAACAAATGGATTACCTGAACAACTCTTTGTGCCTCAAACTCTTACTCTGAAATTCAAAATAGGTACATAATTTTGAAAAGATCATCAAATGTGAATCAGCTGACATTTGACCCTTCATTTTGAGGGACAGGCCTGTTGGAATTTAAAATAAAACTTGCAATTTCTTATAAACATATAATTATAAAAAAATTGCAAAATTAAAAATAGGACAAATTTAAATTATGTAAATAGATACATACATATTATACATAAAATATTTTGAAAATGAATACCTATCAAATTGAACTAAAAACAAAATCGGTTATTCTTAAGAACCTATGCGCGACACATAATGCTCGAAACAAAATCCAATAAATATGTACCTACATACAAAAAACCTTATTTTTTCATTATCTAATTATTTCAGTTCAGAAATCTTCTTCTTCTTCCTGCCCTTCGCTATCCTGTGGTTCGTTACTGAAAATTATAATTTAGTTAGTATAGAATTAAGTATTTATTACTTTTAGTTATTGACAAAACTTGAAAGCATTTGTTTTGCTGTATCAATCCATCCTGTTCCTACAAGTTTTGAGTCAAGTAAAATCCTCATAGCAGCATGAAAAAGCAGAAAATGATCATATAAAGGTTTAGGTAGGATATTCTGAAAAACCACAGGCCCTAAATACAACAATATGAGCCTGAATTCAGTTGCCTTAAATCTTAGTAGCTCATCTAATGACCTAGGTTTACGACTAAACTCAAGAGGAACCATGTTAGCACAATATTTCAACCTTTTTGACAATTTAAGTCTGCAATTTACAGAAAGCTTTACTGGTTTTGATAATTTTTGAGGTTTAGTCCAGTATAGAAGTAATTTCCTCATAACTCCCAAACAACACAAGTGCATGTAATCAAGTGCAAAGTCTTTAATAATATCACATTTATTTAAGTTTAACAATGGTGTTGTAGAGGTGTGATGCTTGGCACATATTTTATTTTTAAAATCATCATGGGTTCTTTCGTTGAATGCGGTTTGTGAATAAACCATCCTGCTTTTAAAATATGTACCTTTTTGGTGACATCGGTCACAACCATACGTTCCATTGTGCCCTATTGTACATTTAACGAAAGATCTTGCGGGTGCGTCGCATGTAAAACAAAGCAGATCTACTTTAACTATATTGTTATCAAAAATAATACCGCTCAAAGATAGCTCATTTAATTCTACAACAAACTCTTGAAAATACCTATCTACAGAGCTTGGTTTTGATAAACCACAGAATATTGCAACAGGAAAAGGTGATAATCTATATTTATTGTCATTTACTCTACATAATATTGGCCACAGTTGCTTATTATTGCTCTTAAATATTGGTACACCATCTATATTGAATATTAATTTAAACCCTGATTTTAAAAAGTGAGCTCTCATCTCTGGTATTTTCAAATAAGAGTTTAATGTGTTCCTTATGCCAAAGTAAATAAACTGACCACTACTGAGTGTACTGGCCTCAGTACTGGCATCAGAGGAAAAAACTTTAATATTATTATTAGAAGTTCGATCGGTACCAATAAAGTTCTAGCATCTAGAGGTAAGTTCAATTTAGGCATCAGTGTGCTTAAACCTTTAAGTAGACTGTTTACTTGAGCAAGGTTTACATTTTGTTTGATAGTCCAATCTTTTAAAAACGTGTTTAATCTTTTTGTTAATTTTTTTCCAGAACTTTCTGATTCTGTTTCAGCATTTTTTGTGTCATCCGAATCAGAAAAATTATCAACTACATTTAAATGCTGTATCATGTGCTCGGGAGAATGCTCAATTGAGACATGCATTTCTTTATCAACGCCCATACTATCTAGGTTATTAGACAAGCTACAACCAGCAATACTATTTTCTTCAGGCAAATCTAAATTACATGGTATATCTGATAAATCTGCAGTCTCAATGCGAAGTTTTTTTCTAAACCTGTATTTAGCACAGTACTCCGCATTTTTGCTAGATTTCTTGTTCTTACTACTCATGTTGAAAAAATATAGAACTCGATATAGAATTTATAGATAGAAATGTAGTTCCCTACCTCCTTATGAAACACAAAATAACTCTCCCTACACCACCAACCACAAAAACACTCCGTTTGCTAACTAAACAAAAACAAAAGACCAACAACCACGAAACCAGGAAACCGTAAAATATTAATTAACTCTAGGCTAGGTACAAAATGCAAAATGCCTACAAAATGGAGTCGTTCGTCGTTCTCGTTCTGTCCACACCGGCGCCCAACCACACAGACGACAGCGCGCGATGCCGTGCAACGTTGCCATTGCCTAGTATCTATATTCCTGCCTTTACAGTTGTTAACTTGGTCTGTAGGTATAGACAACTGGAGCGAATAAGTAAAATATTAATTTGTAATTTATGTTTTCATAAATTATCAGGATTTTTTAACGAAAATCACTAATCAGAGTCAATTTGATTTTAATCGCTTCGTCAATGACGTCAATCGCAGAAAAAATATCTTATTCAACCTGAAGTTTAGCCTAGAATGGCAACACGGTGAAAGATCATCCTTTGTGTAGATGTTTGCCGATTGGCGATTGGCTCGCGAAGTTCCCGTGACTTGAAAATGAAGCGAGAAATGCAAAAAAAATGACGGTTTGGAAAAAAATTCCCCGCGGCCGCGTTTATGGCAAAAATTTTTTTCGGGGTTCTAATGTTTTTTTTTTTTTTTTCATTTTGTAGTTGAAATCAAAACGAGGCCACCACAGCATATTAAAATCAATAAACAATAATTATTATTATTGAGCAACAGGAACTTTATTCCCAGAAATGCTAAAAATAAGACACTTATTTGTAACATTTTTATTAAAAAAAAAAAACTCATTAGGTATGTACTAATAATTATTATGAGTACCTCCTTTATTACACATACACAAGTAGGTACATACCTACCTATACTACATGTTTAAGCATGTAGAATAATTCAGAGAATCTGATACCATAGCTAATACCTAATAATTTAATAAAATAAAAAAATAATATTTGAAATATATTTCCTTTTTATTGAATATTTAATATGTTCATCAAATTATTTATTTTATCCCAATTAAATATTAAGAAAATAATATGTTTTTTGTAATATTTTATATATATTTGTTTTTGTGAAAAAATAATTATAAAATATATAAATATATTATAAATATTCGTTTAATATTTTGTAATAAATATTTTTTTAATAATATTATATACATATTATCTTTTGCTTTCCAAATATTTAGGAGACATATGAATATATAATAAATATTTAAGTAATATTTTGTGCTATTGGGGTTAGGGAGAACCTTTGAAGGTATGACAAGCGCCAAGATCGCTCTCTTGGTTCGTGACTCTTATAGGGATAACAAGTACCTTAAAGCTGCATCGTCTAATTTAAATTTCTATTTATAATTCCATTGCTAATTCCTAATTCGTGATAATTAAACAAGTGATATTTTTGTACGACTTTTATTTAAAACGTAACAATAATAGTTTGTCTGAAAACGTTTTTGTTATAAATTCTGTAACAACACATCATATGATAAAACCACTGGACTTTGACATACCATATGAAGTGGTTGTAAAAGAACGCCAATCATGGAAGAACGCAAAGCTACCTACCGCAAGCGGACAATGTATCATTGTGGTACACAGATGGGTCGAAGCTAACGGAAGGAATCCTTCTGGGAATAACTCGACCAAACTTTGAACTCTCCTTAGGGTAGAACGCCCACAATATTTCAAGCTGAGGTACTGGTCATTAACATCTGGGTCCAAGAGTACCTTGAAAGAAGCTTTTCAAAAGAACACATTTACATACTGTCTGACAGGTCAAAGGGCTCTAAAGGCGCAGCTAGTTTTGGACGGTAAAAATATCGTTAAGCAACTGGCTGGGAGGAATAAAGTAAACCTGATGTGGTGGGTGCCAGGACACCACAGCATAGAGCGTTGCAGTTGCAGAGGCAGACCACCTCGCAAAGCAAGGTGCTACTTACACCTGGGCCCAGAGCCTTTTTATGGAATAATGAAAAGCCACGTCTCCGAAGGAATGAACAGACGGGAAAGGGACCAAATGCTAGCTCATTGGAGATCTATTCCGGGTCTAAGACAGGCGAAAAGGTTCAAAAACTTCTTGACATGAACAGAAGAGACATTAGAACAGTCCGTTGGCACAGATATAGATGCGAAAGAGCGGCGAATTCGTGATTCAAGATTAATTTGATAGACATAGGCTGGCCGCACCAATGCCACATCAATGTATTTTGAACATATTTATTATATAAATGCGGAAGCTCAATAATATAATATTATTTTTTTAATTGGTTCACAAACAGCAAAAAAATATTCTTTTTCACCCGCAAAAATATGTAAACACACAGGCTGGATCATGCTCACGCACTCGTCCTGACGCGGGCGGCGATCTTTATCTATGCGTGAGGTTGCTGGCAGCCCGGCTTCGTCACAGAATATCGTCGACGGCAAGTATATGTACTTTCGCATCTGTATTAGGTGATCTGTTCCGTTGGGTCTGCTCATTGGACATTGCCTTGTGAAATATCACCTAAAAACAATAGGCAAATCAGAAAACCACAACTGCAGATCTTGGGAATAAGCGACAGAAACTACAGAACATTTAATCTGTGAATGCCCTGCTCAGTTCTGCAAAAGCCTGAAATACTTTGAAGGGGTACGGCTTACATTCCAAAAGGTGGCCACTATACCACCAAAGAAGCCTGGCCTCCTTTGGGATGAGAAGCCTACAAATCTCAGACACCAACTAGAACCAGAGTCACGCACAAAATATCTAGAAAGGTAGCGGTGCTACAAAAAAAAAACAATAATAATCATTTCCTTATACCAATATATTATAAATACAAACACAACAAATAAAATAATTATTATATAAAGCACAAATAAATTATGTATATTTTGTAATTTAGTTTGAAGGGTGCTCAAACTAACCAATTTGAAAATATTCTGTTTTTATGGCGAAGTACAAAATAAATATAATATGGCCTCCTTTGTTAGATACACTGGGTAGTTTAGTAAGTTTTTCATAGAAATATTTAAATAAAAAATAAAAATAAAATGTTTAAAAAAGTATACCTATTACATGGACAAGAATAAGAACTACACTATTTCATCAGAAACGTTTTAATATAAAAATAGAAATTAGGAATCACTGATAATTTTGTAAAATAAAATAATACACAATAATTAAGTATACCAAACATCACAACAAAAAACGATGCAATGTTTTTTTTTTTATGGCATTTTTTCTACTTCCACGAAAAAAAAATCAAAATGAGGTACCTACAACTTTATACCTATTGCCTAGCTCTGACTTAGGTATCACTTTCTTAAATTTATCATACTGGAAAATCAGTTCCCTCTTCTAAATCAATAAACTATGCAATAAATAATAGATATGTATGTATAAAACACCCTTATATAAAACATAAAACCTAACAAAACTATATCACATTTAACAAAGAAATTAGATTACATTATGTAGTTACATAACAAAGAAAAAATAACAGCAGACTAGAAAAAAATTTCCACTACATTAGGCCTAATCTTGTTTCAATATTTACTAACCAATAGTCAAGTTTATAGAGTGTTTTCAACACAGAGGTCAAGTATATGGTTTCTAGAAATTGTTGACTAGATTTTTATTTATGTTCCTACCTATTATAAAAATTTTAAAAAGCATATAGAAAATTTAAAGCATCTGTGCAGTGACGGGACTGTCAAAAAAGTCTTTTTCACGATTTTTTTGTGCTAACAAACATTTTGGTTTTAGTTAGGTTACATTCACAGCTTTACCCATTCTATTTAAATAATGTATTAATTTCTTGCCATCTGTCAGAGTTTAATTTGGTCAAATTATTATTATTTCCTGTCAAAAACCAATTATGTATTTTCACTTATTCAAGGTGTAAACAACATGATTTCAATTTTCTACAAAATTCAATTTTTCAATTCAAGAGAAAATTATTCCACCGCGAAAGCCTTTTGTTTGATTGGAACTTGAGATGGAAATCAATTTTTGCTAAAACTATCTAAGCCTCCTCATTGAACTGGCAGGATTATTCTGGTGTAAAAAAATTTTGCGTACAAAGATCAGTGAAAATGTTGAGCATTGAACGCAATTTAATTTTGTGGAATCTGTTTAAAATTTTTTGAATGGCCACACATTCATTACCTAAATTACTCGATAAATGTACTTAATCATAAAATACTCCAGTACATTTTAACTTATAAATACTTATTAAAAACTACATTAAAAAGTTTTTATATCGTTACAAAATATCACGGGATAGTGATGGTGGAAGTTCATCAATAGGTAACCAAACCAACACTTATTATTCATGAACAAATAATAACGGAATATTGACAATTAAAAGTTATACCCTGCTTACCAATAATATTGTTTTCTTTTGTGCCCAGAATAATATTTTTTTTCAAAAAAATATCTCATTTTTGGCATAAACTTATTCAAGGACAATTTTATAATTTGAGCACAATACACATTCTGAACTATAAAATTGTACCTTTAAAACACATTATTATTTGTCCATATTATACACTTAATATAATGTCATAAAAATTACAACCTCAAGTGTTACTGAGCGGTGAAATTTATCGGATAGTCATACTCATACACAATTTATGGTCTCTATGGTCGCCCCATCCACCATTGCCTTTTCGTAACTTGTTTTTCTTCAAGACCGTTGCGTAAGTTAATATCAGATAATCTGGAAACAAGTGTTTTTTAGCCGACTTGAGGACTTGCTGGACTTTCGAAATCACTGCCGCTGAACCACAGTTGTTTTTCTTATGATGAACACCACTAAAAAATTAAGTAATTTTTTAAATTTTATTTATAATTTAGAATTCAGTAGAAAGACAGTGGTGAAGTGAAGACACGAAATGTCTAGAAAATATTTGAGAACAATATTACCTGTAACTACTATTTATTTTGTACTTTGAAAAGACAATTTGAGTGAGCAAAATGAGATTATTTTGGTATTTGACATTTATATGTATTAAGATTACCAACTGTGAATTATTAACAAGAAAAGAGTTAATATTTCCGCATTTCATTTAATTTAGAACTGAATAAATTTTAGGAAGAGTTGTAAAACCGACTCCTGCTATTTATTTTGATAGAAACACCCTGGCTGTTTTACACCCGCAATAAGATCCACATAAATTTTTGGCGCCACCCACGGGGTTTTTCACACAAAACCAACTATATCAATATTGAGAAATAACGAGTGGGCTTTGGATTTTTACAGAACTCATTCCTACCATAGTGCCAAATATCAATCCAAAATTTAAGATTATTCACATTTTTCTGATCTATATCAAACAAAATAAAAATCTTAAGGAAAAATAGTCAACTTATAGATGTTAATGAAGCAATTCTTGGATACAAAAGTAAAAATCAGAAGGAACTTTTCTCAGCATAACTACTAGTAGTAACGTAACCAAAAAAAGAATTTGTACTAATAAACTAGTAGGTATGTAAATAATTGAATCTAAATTAACGAAATAATAATTAACAGTTTCGTATAGAGAATATAATTGGCTTCAATAAGAGCTTAATTACGCTGGAATCGGAGAGAAATTAACGGAGCTGTGAGGCAAAAACTGTCTCATCAGTGTTATTTTCAATGTTCGATAAATTCAATTTTGAAGCTTCTCAGGTGCAAAACTGCTTGATACAAATTGAAATATTCATCAATAGGTTCGTAGACAATTTAATTCGCTTTAATTAGAGCTTGATTACATTGAAATTGGATGAAAATTAACGGAGCTGTGAGGCAAAAACTGTCTCAGTGTCATTTTCAATGTTCGATAAATTCAGTTTTGAAGCTTCTTAGGTGCAAAACTGTTAGAACTAAATAAAAATCTTGATAATGGGTTTAGAGAAGATTCAATTGGCTTTAATTTGAGCATAATTACGTTCAAATCAGATAGAAATTAACGAAGCTGTGAGGCAAAAACTGTCTCAACGTAATTTTGGGCAAATTTTCAATGTTCGATAAATTCAACTTTGAAGCTTCTCAGGTGCAGAACTGTTGAAGCCAAAGTGAAATCTTAGTTGATAGGTTTGCGGAGAATTTAATTGGCTTTAGTAAGAGCCCAATTGCGTTGAAATCGGATGAAAATTTAAAGAGCTGTGAGGCAAAAACTGTCACAGTGTCATTTTTGGAAAATTTTCAATATTCAATAAATTCAATTTTGAAGCTTCTCAGGTGCTAAACTGTTGAAACAAATATACAATTTTGTCTAAATAAGTGAACACAAAAACTATCACAATAACCCGCAAAAACCCAATAGGAATTTTCAAAAACCTGGGTTTTTACCAACCCTATCCACAAACAAAATTGAATCACCCAAATGACACTGATAAAGCCAAAGCCGAGACAGAGGGATGATCCACAGCATCATTATCTAGAGATCAGTTTTGCAACCTCAACCTTGAGCTCATCCATTGCCTTTGTGACTTTTGTAACGCTCATAAAACCATCGGTAACGTTTCGACGATCAAGTCTCTTGCCTTTTAAGTCAACCAATTTGATTTTAGAGGCACTCAGACCTGGAAAATTCCTTTCGCGGATATCTGGCAACTATCACATTCAACATTATTGACTAAATGTATGAGTATTACAGTTCGACGAGATATACAGGCAATAAAAATCCTTCCAGGGTCTCAAAATTAGAAATATCTAGTGGAGTCTAGAACACTTTTTCCTAACTATAAACTTTAAAAAAAAATTAATAATTCATGAGAATGGAACTCATTGAATTTTCAAATAGGTACAAGATTTTTTTTTTCAGGCAGGTGAAAGACAATGATAACAAATGCTTACCATTCTCCAATATGAAACACCCTGGGACCCCTTGCTACCATAGCATGCAGTTTATGTTTCAAGCAATTTTGGGAAATATGCTGCAATGACCAATCCCAATTGTAGTCGTCGTATTTACAAAAAAATGGGGCACATCTTACGATTTCGTTCCAAGTTGTTCGATTGAAAGCCATGCCCATGTTGTGTTTACTGCTTATCCAAGGCGTTATTTCAACCTGCAAAATGTTTCATCACGATAGTGAAAAAAAAATTCTTGGCGTTTTGAATTTCAATTCTTACTTAATTATTAAAATTCATTAGAATTATTTGTTTGGTCGAATTTCTAATACAAAGCTTTAAAAAAAATGTGTTTTAATTGCAATAAGATAATATAGTGTCTGAGTAAGAATCAACATAATTTCTTGGCTTACTGACGCATTGAATTGCTTGTTTTTTTGTTTGTTTATCACCCTTATAGAATCAGATATTCATCCCCTAGAAGCTAAATAAAGTTTGAATATTCCTGTCACATTCACCAAACACAAAAGCGAATGAGTCAACTAGCCAAAAAAATATAAAATTTGGTTTATCTGTCATCACCAGCAAATTCTAAAGCTAATGTTTAATTGGTATTTGTACCTATTTGAAATAATTATTACCCAAATATTGAACTTTGCGCTTCACTAAGCCAAGAATTTATGATGTTATTCATTTAATAATAATAACTTATTAATAAATTTGTTGCTTTACCACTCGTAGGGCCGGTTTCTAAATAGCAAGTCACCCCTGGGTTAAGAATAAATATAGGATAAATATTGCAACTAGACATATCTACCCTGGAATTAAAACCAACCCGGAGGTGACTCGCTATTGAGAAACTGACCTGTAGCATTTTGAAAACTGGCAACCACCTGAACCGAAAAATATTTTTAAAAAATGGCATCCCTAGAGCTCTAGACCAACTCAACTCAAAAGATCTGGAAATCACTGACGAGACAGTGTTTGGAAGTGAAAGACATTAGTTCTGGACCTGATTATGTTCCAGCCATTCTAATATAGGAATTATATGTTAAACGCTCTGCCAGTAGGTAGGTATAGTCGCGGCCATTGGAATTGTCACAAATTTTTGAACGCGCTTCTGTATAAATCCAAAATGACACAATTTTGGCATTAATAGAGCTTGTTAAAAAAGTCATATTTTAATGCAATACGAGCTGCGTTCAAAAATTTGTGCCAATTCCAATGGCCGCAACTGTACATAAAAACAGCACTAGAGAGATCTGGACAGAGACAACGGTTAATTATATTAAAAATATTTTTTGGTTCTCAGGCTGTTATGTGCGTTTTCAAAATATCACCAAAGCGTAATATACTTTGCAGTAAACAAAACGTGCACTTTGCATAACACCCTGATCGTTTTTAACCTGAAAAACCATAATTCAATTAGCACAATGGGTCTGTTCCCACAGGAGTCTCTGACAGTTTGCAAACTGTCAGTAAGAATCGCCCATACATGTTTTCAATGCTGTCGTTCCAAGATCAATCTGTAACTCAGCTGAGCGATTGTTTCTGACAGGTTGCAAACTGTCGGAGACTCCTGTGGGAACAGACCTAATATCACACTGTTTACAAACAATCTAGCAACACCTTATTGTTTATTATAAGGTTTTTACAACAACCACAAAAAAGTTGTTTTAAATCAACACTGCAAGGTCAATCACATGCATGATTTATTTTTGCTGTTATCTTGAGCACCTGACATAAAGCAGTTATTTTTGAATTGATTGGATGAAAATTGAAATCCATGGTTAGAACCAATTTCAACCCAACCATAAAGCAGTTATGATAAAGAATTTATTTTTTATTGCGTAATATTGTAATTTGTTTCACCAGAATGCCTCTGGTTTAAATTAATTTATGTATATCAAATCAAGTTCTACTTGAACACCAACAAACAGATATCAGTGTCCTTAAATAAATTATTGAAATCGACATTAAAATGGAGATATTATTTTTCAAAGATAAACTTTTATTTGAAGATACCGAAATCTCATACAAGTTTTCTTGAGTTGGATTGTTTTCAATGTTTTCCCTTATCTCAATCTGTTGTATATTTCAAGCCACCAAATATACTTTTCTGTACGCCCTTAATATTGTGAAGGATTTGACAGAAATTGCATGCAGGAATAGTTAGAAATCAAAATGATTTGCCACACAATTTAAAAATACATCTAAGAACTTCCTATATCATTGAGAAAAACTTAAAAGTCAAAATAAGACAATACATTACTAAAAAATCATTAGAAGGGATACAAGGCAACGTAACAAGTTTTTTTTAAAAGAATTATTGTTAAATGTATTTTAAAATCACGATCACAATAAGCTGTAAAATGATGCGCAAGCAAAAGCTACCTTTTGCGAATGCTGATACAATGAGGGTAACACTTGAAATGTCCACGATGGCTGAACCTCAGCATTTTTTTTATTGGACTGCTGTTTCGCGTGTAAAGCCTCTTTCTGTAAATTCATTTAGTTTTGCCAATTACACTATTCGAGTTGCAAGCAGTTTTGTGCTTATACAATACAACATTTTGAGATCTATTTACCATTTTTTTTGTTGTTTTTGATAATCAAACCTTTTATGAATAATTCTAGAATGAATCTTATGGGTTCCTGATAAAACATGGAAAAACGTTAAACATTTTTGGTAAATATTTCTATGCGTATTGCACGAGGTTCTTGTCTGGCAAAAACTCAATTTGATATGGGGTTTCACCACAATATGAGTGTTAAATTTTCTAAGTAGATAGGTAGGTACCTAAATGTAGATACGATTTGTCAAATTCATTATCCTTGGGGTTTCCATCATATTATAATGCCACCTGCTGATGTGGTGATGATTAAAATAATAAAAAAATATGGATGAAATAAATATTCAAATGAAAATAATGAAGCTAGATTATATCATTGATTTAAATAATAAATGAATTACATGTTGAAATAATTAATGATTTGATTAGGGAAATATAGTATATTAAAGCAAGCTTCTGAAAAGTTAGAGTATTTTGTTATTGTTACCTACCTTTTTTGAATCCCCGTAGTAGTTATATGTTTTTAAATAGGTCCCCAGGGATAAAATATTACATTGCCTACAAGCTTCTTTACATGTTTTTTCCATTAGCCTCAAAATCTGTATAAAATCTTCCGCAACATAGTGATCCTCTTCAAGAAATAGTACAAGACCGGAATGGTTTCTAGTAACTTCTAGTTGATTGAATACCCTGTTCACTTTCCACCACCAGTGATGTTTGGTTTGTGTAAACTTTGCTTCCCGGTAATGGCCATACAAGTCGGGGTATAGAGCGTTGTTGCATTTCAGTTGTAGTGCCCTAGAACAATAAATAATGCTCTTAACTCTATTTTAAGAGCCGATTATAATCAAAGTTTAAACAATTAGTGGCTTTTGATTGTTCTTAGGAAAATTATCCAGCGAATCAAGAGCCGGTAATAATGAAAATTTGAACTCTGAACGGCTCTTTGAGACGTTCATCGGGTATAAAAATTTGAAATATCATTATAATCAGAATTTAAACAATTAGCGGATGTTGATTGTTCTTAGGATAATTATCCAGCGCATCAAGACCCAGTAATGAAAATTTGGAGTCTGAAGAGGTTTTTGAGACGTTCATTGATTATAAAAATTTCAAATATTTCCAGCTCATGATAAGCTTCTGTTTAAGACCCAATTATCATCCATAAGTGGCTCTTGATTGTTCCCAGGAAAATTATCCAGCGAATCAAGAGCCAGTAATAATGAAAATTTGGATTCTAAACAGCTTTTTGATATGTTGATTGGTTAGTTATTTTTTTTTTTTTTTTACGGATATGTGCACTCGCAAGGAAATGTCCTATCACGCTCGAGAAGCGGCAAGTGCGCGGAAATGTCGGTGTATGTTGGTCTTGAAACGGTTCAGGTTGTAACCTGCAGGGAAAACCGTCGCAGGGAGTTTATTCCACAGCGATGCTGTTCTCCAGAGATATGAATTCTGATATAATGAGGTTCTTGGTGCCTCTAGTTTGACAGTAAATTCATGGTTACCGTCTGTTTGACGGGTTCGCCTGGTAGGCGCTACTCTCCGTGGAATCATACGTGCCAACTCTTCAGAGCATTTTCCGTGATAGTACCTGTAGAAGAGAGATAAATCGCCCACAGATCTGCGATGTTCGAGACCATCCAAGTTACGAGTAAGTGCGGGGTCATTGATCAGCTTGATAGCTCGTTTTTGCACGGTATTCAAAAGCATTAAGGTATGTTTGGGTGCTGCACTCCATATATGTGAGCAGTACTCCATAGTTGGTCGAATCTGGGCTTTGTAGAGTGTCAGCAATTGGCTTGGTGTGTACAGATGTCTTGTACGAAATAGCACCCCCAGCTTTTGGGAGGCCCTTTTAGCAATAACTGCCACGTGACTGTGCCAAGACATGTTGGTCTCTGCAGTAACCCCCAAGATGTTCAACTGACTCTGTAATGTCACAGCACTTCCAGATAGCATGATGTTTGGCTCACCGGTGCTGGTCTTTTTTGAAAACAGAGCTGCTTGGGTTTTCTGCGCGTTGAACTGTACAAGGTTTTTGTTACCCTAGTCCTCTATTATCTCCAGGTCGTTATTTATCTGCGATATTTGAGTTAGTCTAAGATGATGGAATTCACGTGCGGAAAGACCTGTGGGTGGTATGAGTGAGGAGACTACATTGCCATCGTCTGCAAAGCAATAAAGTGGATTTACTGTTTTATCTATGAGGTCATTTATGTAAATCAGGAAAAGAGTTGGCGAAAGGATTGCTCCCTGTGGCACACCAGCATTTATTTGGTAAGAGTTGGAGTTCTGGCCATCCAGTGCAACATAAATGGATCTGTCCTTTAGGTAACTTTCAAACCAAGTGCAAAGTTTCGGCGATAATCCCATTGCTTTGAGCTTGTTGAGCAGATTTTCATGCCAAACTTTGTCGAATGCTTTAGATATATCTAAGGCAATTGTTCTTGTTTCACCCCGCAACTCAATCGCTTTTTGCCATAAGTGAGTGACGTATGACGTATACACCATTTCAAGCTCAATTTCGGAAAAAGTAACTTTTATTTAGGAAAATGTAAAGTCATTTTCGGAAAAAGTCAAATCAATTTCAGAAAAAGTAAAGTTAATTTCGGAAAAAGTAAATTCAAATTCGGAAAATGTAAATTCAAATTCGGAAAAAGTTAATTCAAATTCGGTAAAAATACATTCAATTACGGAGAAAGTGATGTTATTTTTTATAGAATAATTTGAATTGATTGAGTCGTTTATCTATTTAGAAAATCAAAAAATTTCTTCATATTTCTCAAAGAGACCCGATTTTTAAACAATAAAAGAAAGAAAAAAATTACCAAGTCTACAGATTGTTTATTATTTTATTCACTTAATAGTGACATGTGTTTCGTTCATCTGAACATCATCAGACCTACAAAATAATATATGTACACCATTTCAACCTCAATTTCGGAAAAAATAACTTTTATTCAGGAAAATGTAAAGTCATTTTCGGAAAAAATTGAATTAATTTCAGAAAAAGTAAAGTTAATTTCGGAAAAAGTGAATTCAAATTCGGAATAAGAAAATTCTAATTTGATTTTAATTTTTCCGAATTTGAATTTACTTTTTCCGAAATTAACTTTACTTTTTCTGAAATTAATTTGATTTTTTCCGAAAATGACTTTACATTTTCCCGAGCATTTTCGTAAATAAAAGTTACTTTTTCCGAAATTGAGGTTGAAATGGTGTATATCTCAGTCAGTGTACCTATTTGCATATTGACACTGATGGCCGATGGATCATAAAATAGCCACCTACCCGATAACCGATTGGGCCGAGTTCAACTATCGTAGAATTGTCACTTTTCCTTCTTGCGCGGAACAGGTAAATTTCGTGGCAGAATTCAAGGATCCCGGAGCAAAACATACGTCACTATTAAGTGAATAAAATAATAAACAATCTGTAGACTTGGTAATTTTTTTCTTTCTTTTATGGTTTAAAAATCAGGTCTCTTTGAGAAATATGGACAATTTTTTTGATTTTCTAAATAGATAAATGACTCAATCAATTCAAAATACCTACCTATTCTATAAAAAATAACATCACTTTCTGTGATTTGACTGTGATTTGACTGTGATTTGACTTTTTCCGAAAATAACTTCACATTTTCCTAAATAAAAGTTACTTTTTCCGAAATTGAGGTTGAAATGGTGTAGTTAGTTAGTTAGTGGTTTTTGATTGTTCTTAGGAAGATTATAAATGTCAATTATAATTAAGTTACCTAATCATAAAACATAAACGAACATAAAGTAATCCATAACATGACTATGAATGGGCAATAAAATTTGCCATTCTTGCTAGTTCTAGCATAGCGGTAATTACTTCAAATGCACCCATACACCATATCCATAACCGATAACTTTCCTATACCATCAATTTTAACTAACCCAGCGAATCATCAACCAACCAGCCGTCATAAAGGTATCTTCCAGTAGAGCGGTGATCGTTCACCTGACCAACGGTAAATTGGCTTTCCGGTGGATTTTTCACTTTATTTCTTCTTGTACTGTTCGAAGAAACCATAGGGACAGAACAACTTGATATAGATACACAGTGGGCAAAGGTTAAAGAAGCATTACTGAAACCTGCCAAACAGTTTATGGAAAAATAAAAATAAATAAAATCTGAGAACCTATGATGATACGAAGATAGATACCAACAAATTAACAACTTTATTAAAAACAAAATTCGCATATCAAAGGCAAAGTGACTTGAAGAAAAATGCATAGAAATAGAACATTTGGAAGTAAAATACGACTCGTTCTACCTTCGTAAAAAAGTAAAGGAGATGGTTTACTACAAAAATAAAAATAAAATGCGAAATTCCATTCTTAAAGATGATGAGGAAAATATTATTGCTGATATAAAAGATAAATTAAGAACTTGGCAAATATACGTAGAAGAATTATTTTAAGACAAACGTCAAGCCAAAGAAGGCCAATGCAACCAATGCAGTGACTATCGCACGATCTGCCTAATGAGCCACACATAAAAATAGTCCTCAAAATAGCTCATAGTAAAATATATAGAAAAGTTGAGGAAGAAATAATAGGAGAAACATAATTTGGATTTCCAACAAAGCATTCGATAAAGTAAAACACGTTCAGCTTGTGGAAATACTGAAGGCAAAACATCTAGACACACGAGATATAAGATTAATATCTCTCATCCAAGGAACTGTACGAATCGAGAACACAACAACAGAGGAAGTTCAAATTAAAAAGGGAGTTTGGCAAGGTTGTTTATTGTCGCCGATACTATTTAATATCTACTTTGAAGAAATCATGAAGAAAGCATTGGAAAATGAAGAAAAGGGAATATGAATAAATGGAAAGCCTTTAAATAACATCAGGTACCTACCTATTCGGATGACACAATTCTGAGCCGAATTCCTAGAAGCTCTGCAGATTATATTAGATAAAATAGTTACCGCTAGTGAAGAGAAAGACCTTACACTCAATGATAAGAAAACGAAATGTATGGTGATATCAAAGAAAAAACGGTTAAGTGACAATATGTTCATAGTACAATGATCGAACAGGTATATAAATATAACTATTTAGGGACAACAGTTAACAACAACAATGATACCACAGAATTAATTAAAACTATAATCGAAAAAGCGCGATCAGCCCTTTGTAAATATGAAAACCATATTCACTAGTCATGACATTAATCTGAGCCTTAAGATTCGATTGGTAAGATGCTATGACTTCTCTGTGTTGCTGTATGGGGTGGAGGCATGGTCTCTGAACAAAGCCAATATTAAAAAGCTGGAAGCCATCGAGATGTGGGTGTATATGTAGAAAAATACTCAAAATTTCATGGACCGATCGAATAACCAATGTAGAAGTGATGAGAAGAATGAATAAAGAACAAGAAATTCTCCTAACTATAAAGAAACCGAAGGTGACTTGAATATCTAGGTCACGTTATGAGGGGACCAAAGTATGAAATACTGCGGCTCATCATGCAAGGAAAGATCCAAGGCAAAAGAAGTGTCGGACGACGACGGCACTCTTGGTTGCGAAATTTGAGGGAATGGTTTCAATATACATCTATTGAATTATTCAGAAGAACAGCCTCAAAAATAAAAATTGCCATGATGATTGCCAAACTCCGAAACCTTAAGAAGCAGACGGAAAATTATCCAGCGCATCAAGAGCCAGTAATAATGAAAATTTGGATTCTAAAACAGCTTTTTGAGACGTTCAAACACACATTCAGACAAACTCTGGTTGTTTTTATTTCTGAGAGATCATCAGTAAAAGGAGGCCTGAGTCGAGGTAGGTTGCCTGTCAAGAAGTCATTAACTCTCAGAGAATGGCGTTCTGAGGTAAAAATCTATTTTAAGATAAGCACCAATGAACAAGTGACAGGATATTGACAAGTACTTGCTTGTTCTTAGTACTTATAGAAGCACAAGTTCCAGTTTCAAGGTACCTACCAATTTTTATCAACATCATTACTTAAAATCTTGTTGACTATTCTACAAACGTCTGACTTTATTATTGTTCTCGCTTAGTAACAAAATACACAGTAAAATCAATTCTTGCCAAGAAAACAAACAATGATTTGCCTATTAAAATGTAACCATTTTGTGGAATTTCCATTCAAATGCGTCAAAGGTTGGTGAATTATAAGCTTAGATTTTAAAATGCTGTTGCGCAAGTTTTATACATATATGATCCAATTTAAATAAAGTGATTGAGGATTAAGACTTTTGTTTTGTTTCAATGTATTGTTCCTAATTTTGAAATATTTAAATTCGCAGAAATTTTAAATAACTACAAGAAATGAAAAGTTTTGATATTCATATTTTATGCTATTTCTGCTAGTGCTAATTTTATGAATAATTTTTCACTGAATTAGAAAGTTTCCATGTAAAAAATGCTAATGATGTTAGCACCTCACTATAATATTTTTAAACCGCTATGTTTTGGGTTTTGGCATCAATAATTATAACAAGCCAGACAAGTACATTTTGATTAGTCAAAGAAATGTCTAGTTTGCAACTAATTACGGCCATTGTGGCTATGCTTCTACCAGAAAGAAAGCTACCATCGAATACAAAAAAAATAAATGATACGGTACAGTATATATGTTTGCAGTTTGAATTTAAATATAATCAATTGAGTAATAAAAACAAAAAAAAGCTTACTTGTCTTTTTTGATATCTCGCTGGCAGTCTCCTGGGTCTTCTCCTGGAAACTCATTGGGATGCGTTTGAATGGAATATGGATAAAATATCTGTATTACTTTACAGAAATCGACGCTTTGCACCAGACTATTGATCTCTTCATCATAGTAATCATGGGAAAATACAAGAAGGGCTTCACGTATGTCACGCGCTTGGGCTAAACTAATTATTAAATGTCGGAGATACGTGATTCTATCGTGAATCTGCAAAATAAAATACAAGATAGATCCATGAGTATATTGCAGCATTTAATCTTGATTCTCACTTGTATAACAATAACAATAGAATCACTTTGAAGCGGACCAAAAAGGTCCTCGTTGTAAACCGTTTGCTGTAGATTGTATTGGGCTATATTTCGTTTGATATCCGAAATGTTAAAAGCTGCTTTAGAATATCCTAAGTTACTGTAACTGCCGTTAAGACTTAAGTTTGTACCATTTTTAGGCTTAGGTGCTAAGAATTTGTGCAAAACTACCGGCACCATACTAAGTATGGCAGCTTGGGAGTCGTTGATGTCGGAGTAGGGAGGAATTGGTCCCCCAAAGTCGACGAAACCGATTTGCACCCATATGAAGATGACTATGAACGAAACTAGGCCTGCTCGTATCCAGAATGTCGTCCCACTTCGACGGCGCCATATCTGGCTCCGTCCAGTGATCATCATATGGCATCTCCCTTCTTAGAGTACCTGGAAAGAAAAATAATATTTATTGATCGATGCCTGACTGGAATATTCATTCGACAATTACAATGGTCAATTCGGGCAGTTGGGAAAAGAAATAGTTGATATTTTTTGCAAATGATCAAGAAAGTGTTAAATTGCAGAATACAATGATAATGATTTGAAGCAGAAAAAATTAATATTTCATATTCTTATACAATTCTAAAAGAAAATCCCTTTTAAGTAAAACTCACCAAATTTTTTTTGTTGCGTATGTAACTTACTTTGATTTTAAAGAAGCTTAAACCCTCTAAAAATATTTTTCAAAGGGTTTTGCTTTCCAAGCGATTTCTATGGGTCTTTGAATTAAAAAAATCAATTATTATAGAGCTTGTAATTCTTCCGTGCTCTTATCCTCTTTTTAGCTCGTGCAGATAGCGAACCATCCGTTACACTAGAATTATAGCAAAATTTAAAATCACGCGCGCCCTTCTCGCACAATTATGTCAAAGTGTTTATTGCTTGGTTATAGAGTGGAATAATAAGAAATATGTATGCATAAGCGTTATAGAATTAAAATATGTCGGTACTAATAAACTTAGACCATCAATTCGATTATTATGGCATTCGTTTAGCATAATAAAATGTAGCTCTGACCTTTTAAGACTTGCATAAAATATCAGATATTATCAGGCTAGTAAACAACACACGTCTTTCGCCTTGCAGGTACTTGAATCGTGAATACCATCAACCGGCAAGCCAACCATGGGTGTTCCTCCATAAATCGCTTCAATGTCACATATCTTCTGGTTAACCACTTCCAAACTGTTCGAAACCCCATTCTTGATCCACGGATCAAATCTGAGAAAGTTCTTACCTTGATCTAGACATGGTTGCCTGAACGAGGTATCTGCGTTTTTATGTAGTTTACCAGAACGATGTTTGATTTGAAAATCGTAATTTTGCAAATTCTCCAATGAAGGCTGAAAGTCGCCAGAAGAAGAGCGAGATCTCAGCCGTACTCTATACAGTCAAGTTTAAAATGTCTTCGTTCTCCTGGCTCCTTGATCGCTACTGATAACAACCTTTCGTATTCCTTCCACCCATTGTGACTTAAATTTTCTCTATTGGTTCTTTGTCATCAGAACTGCAACGATAAACCATTGCAACGTTTCGAATTGACGCCTGTATGTCGCCCATGATGTCTGATCGTCGTATGGTGGTGGTTCAACTTTGTTAATGCTTGCAGAAGAAGCTGAGACATTTCCTGATTGCAAATCACATTTCAACTTATTTATTCTCTTCTGATCACTTTCCGACAAAGACCTTCAACTTCCTGACAAACACTCATTACTTTTTCACAAACTTCTTCCATTGCAACCTTAAAGGATGATGCACACTTTAAATGGGGATTTAAAAAATCCACGATTTTGATGAAATTTTGGTATGTTGTAGATCTTAATCTTCTGATCAAAAGTTCTCATGGGCCCAAGATGATCCTATGACTGGTTTCCGAAATACAGTGGCAGGTATGGGGCTACCCAAAAATCCAAAGAAATAGAATTCTTTTACAGAAGGTAAACTTTAATACAAAAAGTGTTAAAATTGATTAAATTCTATTTTTATTGGCCATGGTAGATGTCAGGACACAATTTCTATCTACAGAAGGTACTCAAAAAATATAATCCTTCTGTTTAATTCATACTTTTTATACAAAAAACGGATGTTCAAGTTACACTAAAATAAAATAATATGATATAAAAATAATGAACATTTTCACCCTAGTCTCGGGCGCAAATTGTACTGGAAGTTGTAGGCAGTACCAAAATACACCGTTTAGGGTACCTAAAAAGAGTTGCAAATAACTTTGAGGGTGGTTTAAGTGGGTAAAACTAATAGTTGCGATTCATTGAAAAATGGTTTCTGTGGAAATTTCTAATATACACCGTTTGGGGAACCTCACTTGACTTGCAAATTACTTTAGGGGTGGTTTCAAGGGGTAAAACTAATTATTGCGATCCATGGACATAGGGGTAAATATGAACATTTCCACCCTTCGGGTGCAAATGGTACTGGAAGTTATAGGCAGTACCTATACATATACACCGTTTAGGAAACCTAATTTAACTTGCAAGTTACTTTGAGGGTGATTCAAGGGGTAAACTCTAATAATTGCGATTCATCGAAAAAAGGGTTTTTGTGAAAATATGGATATTTCCACCCTAATCCAATCCACTTAGTATCTGGATACAACGCGTGAAATAAACGTAGTCTTTATCACTTTTGACACTTTTTGTATTAAAGTTTACCTTTATGAAAGAATTTCTATTTACTTGGATTTTTGGGTAGCCCCATACCCGCCACTGTATTTCGGAAACCAGTCATAGGATCATCTTGGGACAATGAGAACTTTTGATCAGTAGATCGAAATCTATAACCTACCAAAATTTCATTAAAATCGTGGATTTTTTGAAATCCCATCTAAAGTGTGCATCGTCCTTTATTATCTCATAGGATTTTCTCAAGTCTTGGCTACACCTCTCAGAGATTGTTATAGCTTGAATCCACTTTCGCAGAAAATTGAAAGTTTCCTGAAGCCATTCCTGTTCTTCTTGTTTTCTTTTATGTCTTTGGTCTCATTCTTCTTTTTTCTTGTCTTCGATATTTTTCATGATTTTTGACTCGCCCCATTTCAACCGCTTGCTTTTGTGTATCGTATCACTTTTGGTTTCCAAATACAGGATTTCCTTAAAACTAGCACATTTTGCAGGTAGATAACTCTAAAACAAGAAAAGATAGCGAGAGGCGGTTTGTTCTGGGGGAATATGGCTATTTCAGAGTTTTTTTTCCACAGTATTACTGAATCCTAAAATTTGATGAAATTTGGTTTTAGGAGACATGCGATTTTTTGAAATAAAAATACGGCCTTATTTCTAATAATAAATTTTTACACTTTACATGATTTTTTTGCATTTAAGTGAGAAAAAAAATCATAATTCCAGTTGATGGTATACTTACCCTCTTTAATAAAGTGGAATTTTTACGATGTAATTTCAAGACAATTAAAAAAAATTATACAATTTTGTAAAGTAGAAAAATCAGGCTTTCTAACAACAACAAAATATACAGGGTGTTTCATTGGAAATAGGACAGTAATTTTGTTTCGAAAAATCGCATGTCTGTAAAACCAAGTTTCAGCAAATTTTGGGATTTGGCAATACTATGAAAAAGATCTTTAAAAAGTTCTTATTCTCTCAGAACAAACCACATCTCGTTATCTTTTGTCGTTTTCTAGTAATCTATTTGCAAAATGTGTCAGTTGCTCTAAGGACACCCTGCAAAACAGTATATGGAATGTTGTGGAACTTTTCAGAAAACCCACTTGTGATATATGCAACTTTTTTTATTTATGTAGGTAATTTGTTAGCAATTATGCATTATTAATAAATTATTAATACATAATTAAACTCATAAAAACATTGATGGTGACTAAAACAAATTAGATAACCGGAACATCGCCTGACCCACCTTGGAATCATTAGCAGTTTTAAATAAACACATTTCAACAAACAGCAGGAGGGTTATATTGGACAAAAAAATTCAAGCGTTTATGTAATTTGGCATTACAGAATGGTTAGAAGAAATTTTCCTATTGATATTTGAGGAATCTATGAAAAGCAAAAGGTGAAATTTATCTATGATATTTTATGGTAACTAAAGGCGACACTCATGTCAACTCGTGTATTTCATATTTAAACTAAATTACGCAGTATTTGCAAACTCGTCGATCCATAAATTCTCCCTGCCCTAATTAGATTCAGAAAGTAAATTTCCCATTATGAGGCACTTTTCCCTGGAGTATTAATTTACATAACATGTCAAAGTGGTGGCACGCTAAATGAAATGCGGTCGTTAGAAAAATACCCAGATAAAAATATAACAGTTTAATGAAAATTATATGTTTGAATTTAAATCTATATGCCTTTTTGTTTATCCATTAAGTTTTTCTATAATGGATTAGAGTATGCTGAAAGCCTTGTTAAAAGCTAAACCAGGATTAATTATAGCTTCCTAAATACACAAGTTACAAAAACAATGCAAAATTTAACTGTACTTTCAAATTAGTTCTAAAATGCAATCATTATTTGGTCTGCTGTATAAAGCTATCAGATTGTCAACAGAAATACAAAGTTTTATTTCATGAATATTGAGTAAAGTAACTAATTCAATGTTTTCTATTTTTGTCTATTATTTCATTATTTCATATTTCAACAAAATTGAACTAAATTTTGAAACTAGAAATAATTAAAAAACTCATATTTTTCTATCCACCCAACTAGGTTCGACAATAAACCTACTTTATGTTGGCAGTTAAGGCTATAATGTTAATAAAGTTGCAAAATGTAATTATTTAGGGAATAATTCTAACTGCTCAACTTACCTTGAAAAAAATTATTATTATAACTTTGGCAAAAAGCGGTAAATTGTACTACACTGATAATGAACCGGTCGCGAATGGAAAAAATGAAGAATAGTCACAAAACGCGCAAAAATTATTTTAATTGGTAGGTATTATATTGCACGGTTGATTTGTTAAATTCTCTCACTTAAATGTTCACTAAACAAAATACAATACTTTTCATTCTAATAGGGCCTTATTTTAAATTGTTGCTAACAATAGAAATACATTGCAAACAAATATGGTATGTTCCTATGTACATAAATAAATATGATCTGTGTAATACTACTACAAAGCAACCTAATAAAGTGTTTGATGAGGTAACATTAAACGGAAATTTAATGGGCACACGCTTCTAGACTATATTCCTTAATAAGCTTTTTTTTTACACCATTTGTACCATGTAGGAAACTTTTTTAGGCACGAACCAGAAGAAAAAAAAGTTTAAAATTATTACTATTATTATCTAGTCGATATGGGCTGAGGTGCACTGTTACTCATCAATTGTATTAGAACTGTTAGTTTTTGAGTGCTTATTTTGGAAAGCAGTATGGGAACTGACTATCAAGTTTTGTCTTGAATAGTATGACACCGAAGTAGCTCGAACTGTTTCAGCTGGGAGTTGATTCCAGAGGGCAAAGACTCTAGAAAGTTCTCCCTACACACTGTGGAGTAGTTTCTTTTTTAAGTTGAGACTGTGACCCCAGATTCTCTGGTCTGTGTTCAAGGCATAGAGGTGTCTAACTGTTTGAATGTTTTTGTGTAGTGTTTGGTAGGTAAAGATAAGATCTCCTCTTGTTCTTCTATTTTGGAAGCTCAGCAGTTTTTGTTGTTGTAGTCTTTCCTCATATGTAGGTCGTCTTCTACCAAGTTGCAATCGTGTTGCATTTCTCCGTACAGCTTCAAGGCTATGGCGGTCTCTAGGTCTGAGTGGCAAGCCTGACCTGCATATTCTAGGATTGATCTGCAGTATATGTTGTATAGTTTTGTAAAACCTTGTTTGAGAAGAATAACTATTGCTGTTGGCTTTTTTGCATATTGTTGTTACGTCATGTGGCGTGATCACCAGGTCAAGTCTTTGGTTATCAGAACTCCAAGGTTATTGTATTGCTGAACACTGACCCATTGATGGTGTATTTATTTTCTGGGTTATTTTTCCCAAGATGAAGTACCACATATTTATACACATTAAGGGGTAGTTGCCAGTCCTCACACCACTTCTCAATTTAGTTTAAATCATTTTAGAGCGAGTCAGAATGGTAAGCGGAACCATAAGTGCAAGTACCAAGCCTTGGGGCACGCCACTTTGTACTGGATAGAGTTCAGAGTATAAGTCGTCAACTCTGACTTTGTACTCCCTGTTTGTAAAATAGTCTTTGGTCAAAATCAGTAAATCTCTCCTCACATCAAAATGAGCCAGTTTAAGCAGAAGCCTCTGGCTTGGGACTTGGTCGAATGCTTTGGCTAAATCCAAGTATATGACATCAATGGGAGTTTTTTGATCTAATTTTTTTTTTCTAGTTGTAAACACAATCAAAAAGGCAAGTTGTGGTACTCCGTTTTGTTAAAAATCAAATCAATTGTTCTTGTTCAACAAAAACCTCTAATATTTTCTGCGACCATAGATTCTCTGATTTTACTTACAATGGGTAGCAAGCTTATTGGGCTGTAGTTTCCAGCATCTAGTTATTATCTTTTTTGTACATCGGGGTGGCTGATGCAACTTTTCAATCGGCCGGCGGGGAGCCTTTTTTGATCCAGTGACATATTCATTATTTTGCACAAGGCAACAGCAAGGTTGCTTGATAACTTTTTAAGAACTAATGAGGATATTCTGTCCAGACCTGGAGAGCTGGCAACCTCCAGGGCTTTAATATTCATTAGGATGTCCAAGGTTGTGATTCCATTTGGTACCCTGTCAAAGTATATTCCCAAGAGATCTTCAGGAATTAATGCCTTTGTCGTTGTTCATGATTCTTGACGTTTGACGTGCGTTGCACCTTTCTTCTAAGATATATTAGGAGCAAAAGATTCAAAATTACTGAAAAAAAATAGACACTTGGCACAGCTAATAATTGGTTTTGTTCAAACTTGATGAAAGTTGATGAGAACAAAACCAAAAAAAAAATCACCCATAAAAATCATATTCGACAAGATTTACAAATGACTACTTCCAAGACATCAATTGACAAATCAACTATGAACATATTCTGGTTCCGAGTCTGGTTCCTTCTGAATTTTGTAATGTTTTATTACCTTACCAATATATATTTTCCAGTTTATACCCATACGTTGGTAATTTCACCTGCACCCCTAACTTGCTGATAGTAAACTGCACAAAATTACCTGCTACAAAAAAATAATGACTAGGTGAAAGCGGATTAGCCTGATATGCCACTAACAAGCTATGTACTATACTAATTATCGCTAGACCCATATCTTTATTGTACTCCATAAAGTACAGGATGGGTAATCAAACACATTTCGAAACGACGTAAAAGTGTATGAGGAATAACATAGGCTAATAAAATAGGTTTTGCAATTATTATAATGGAGTTTTGTCCATTTGGCTAACGGATCTGTAAACTTTCACAATCTTTACTAAAGTAATGTCGAAGGTACCTGTAAGCTATCTTCAGATACGCCTATGGTGCATTGAAATACTCATGCTTATTGATTTTACTTCTGAAAACCATAAACCACCCTACTGCTGATAAATATCGACGCACAGCTGATTCTGTTCACAAAGAGTAATATATGTACCCTCAAAAAGTCTTCGCTGCACATCAATCAAATTATTTAAATATGTTGTGTCTATGTGTCCCATTGAAGATGGGAATTGGGGGAAGAAACTGACTGTATGACTTCGAAGAGATAGACCAACACGCTATAATAGGTTTATTCTTATCTTATTTGGTATGCTTTCGCTTATAATGCACTCCCGAGAGCCAATAAGATCGAAACCAGTATGCAATTAGTGCGACATCCAATAGTATAGAATTTAAGTTCTCGCTATCATAAAGCAAACCCACAAGTATTCTGTAATTTTGTTTTTTCTTCCAAAATTCGAAATACCTATGTATAAATATTATAATTTGTTTATTATTTTGTAAACTTTTCATAAAAACCCTTGTATATAACATTAAAAATTTGTTTTCTTTTCTGGTTCAATATGAAACAAAAACATATAAACTACCCTCGAAAATACCCTATTTTTGATATGGGACATCCTGTAAAATAATAGTTTAATGAATGACATATTTTTTTCCCCATTTCAACGATATATTACACTTTATAGGTGGTATAACTGCTGTAACGTCAAGGAAACATGGTTTGCAAGGCAAATTAATATCATTTCAAATTAACTGGTACACGAAATATGATAAAATATTTAAAAATGTTACTAATGCTCCGTAACTGAATTTACTTACAAAAGTCTAAATTATATTGACAATATAAAATTTGATAGAGGGAAATCCCAGGAAATTCAGAATTATTTTAATAGGAAATTACACAAAACAATAGCCTGTGTTTGTCATTGATTTGTTATAATATTTTGTGACTGAAATCTATGTAGAAAACTGTCAGATACAATTTTCACCTGTTTGATATTTCTTTTTTTTTCATATGCTCGAAAATTTCTAATTTCCCCTGTATCTCCAGAACGAAAATAGATAGAGATAGAGACCTACGGTTTGCGGCATTTTATTTAGATATCATTAAAAATTTGCCCGGGAATATGAATGAAATCAAAAAAATCTACTTGTACAAATCAATGGAACAGCCAGTTTAATTGGAACAAATTTTGTACTAGAGAGCCCGTCAATTCGGACAAAGATTTTAAGCAGTGTTTTTGTTGGTCAAAAAATGAGTTTCCATATTATTATTGTTATTTTTTTGCTGTTTCAAAAAAATGTCTTTTTTAAAAAGGTTTTTGTATAGGTTTGCAAGTGTTGAACATGTTGAAGTAGATTCATTGGACTGATTCATGGTAATTCCAGCTCAATCCAACAAGAAAATTTATCTTTTGCAAATATTATATTATACTCCTGGACAAAATTATCGCACCACTGCTTATGGTGGTGCTTATGTGCAGTGGTGCGATAATTTTGGCCAGGAGTATAAATAGTTCTGACTCAGATGAAGATGGGATGGAAACTGTCAGTCTGGTCAAAATTGAAAAAGAAAATGCTCTCAAAAGTTCAAATCTTCCTCAAATGTATCTAATTATGTCACTACAAAACAAAATCTACAAGAGTATTAGTATGAAATAAACAGTAGGTAGGTATTCATGAGCTTAAAACATTTGGAGAACAGTTTAAAATATATTTGATTCGAAAGGCATTTTAGTCTCCCGGAATTCTACGATTCATCCTAATTAGTTTTTTATTCATATTAGTTCCTATATGCTTGTGTTATTTTATTATTTTAATTGTATCTGTGGCATTCTGATGATATTTGATTTGTATGACGATGATTGATATTTTAACGCGTGTCTAGCATGATTGTAATAACTGTGTGTTTTGAAATTTGTTTCCAACATTGAAAATGTTTTTGTTATCCTAGTATGGGGGCCCAAATCGCAAAAAAGTGCACGCTATACATTTTCCACATGTCGTCACACGTCACATCAATCAAAATCCAAATCTAAATCACATACATTTTGCATTTCACTTCATCAATTTCAATGTCCTCCTGGTCGCATTTTTGCAAAGGATGATTTTTATTATTGTTTTTAAAATTTGCATTGCTTTCAAGTAATTATTGTGTTGAATCTTTGGCACCTTTAGATGTTGTTTCGTTGATTTTATTTTTTAACAACATTAGTTTTGTTCCAACCCAGCAGAAAACCGTACACCGCACAAAGAGTGGGACACCCGACTGACAGGTCTTGTCATTTTTCGCTATTTTGCGTAAATCAGTATTTTCGCTACAGTCGATTTTTTGTCAAATATGACAATCCCTGTCATTGCCGTAGGTATAGCTGTGAGCCCGTTTTACAATAGGAGAAAACGGGTGTCCCACTTTTTGTGCTCACGACTGTACGTGCTTTTTTAATTAAGGTAAAACACCTGAAGGTAAATCTAAATGTATTAACCCCTTATATCCAAAATGGAAATACTTCCTAATTCCTCCGTTTCAATCAAAAAACTAACAATTTAATCAATATATTCATGAAAAAAATCCATAGGGAACACGAATAAAATCTTTATTTCTGACTTGAATAACACGTACAAAACACAGTTATAGATTTTTCAACATCAAACATTGTTTTTTAAATTTAATACTAATGCTCTATCGCCTGTAACATTCTGATCCTGAATCTAGCCCATGCAATAACATTCTGACCCTTTAAATAGCTCCATCATCGTCCCGACATTCTGACCCCTGATTCAGCGCATGTAGTAACATTATGCCACCCAAAATAGCCACATCAAATTTGATTGGTCAGGTTTCCGGGCTATGGCTAGATTGGGTGGCAGAATGTTTTGATGCGAACCGTACATTTCACCTTCAGGATTCTGCGCAAAACGTGAAATCGGAAATTCGTATTAGTCCAGTAAATGCGTGTTTAAAACTGCCGTTTTCGTAAAAAAATTGCGGAAGTTTTTTTTTTTTTCGACGGTTTTATATGTTTTCGAGGGTGCTGAATCCGAATTTATGGTTTGCTGCCTTGTAGGATGTCGGCTTCATAGCCAAAACCGCAAAAAAATTGTTTTTAGCGCTTTCTCCAGTTTTTTTTTTGTATTTTCACAAAAACGTCTAAAACACCCACTTTCATCCCCTGCAACTTGAGAAATATAATAATATGTTAATAAACCATATCACGTGAATGGTCGTACTCCAACATCGACGATAGTTATGATGCAGAAGGCGAAGGTGATCTGGATGAGCCAATTCCAGTCTCACTGCCTGAAGCGGATGAAGAGACAGAAGGTAATAATTTATATATTTTGCATCATTACATGCATTTTTACCTAGTTTTTTCTAGTATTTTTTTTTTTCAGTGGAAGAACAGCAAAAATTCAGCATTCAGCCTGCAAACCATAAATTTGGATTCAGTACCCTCAAAAACATATAGAACCATTGAGAAAAAAACATCCGCAAGATTGGGATCAAATTGGGAGAAATTACTCTTTAAGGTGAATCCTGACCGGTGCAACAAACAGCGCAAAACGTTCGCGAACGTTTTGCAACAAACATTCTGCGCAGCGCGGATAACGTCCAAACTGCTGCAAAATTTTTTTGTTTATGTACCGACACCATATGGAAAATATTTTGCGCCGCGCAAAACTGAGAGGGCGTGAGCAAGTCTGAGCGCGCTACCGTCCAAACTGAGATGTTCTGCAACGTTCGCGAACGTTTTGCGCTGTTTGTTGCACCGGTCTGGATGCACCTCTAAATTTTTGATAAGCCCCAAATCTAACCCGCAAAAGCAGTATCCTTTGTTTTTTGAATCATTGAACTTAAGTTTAAGCAGGGTTGGCAAAACCCCAGCTGATATTGTATTAATATTGGATAGACTATTGGATTTTTGGTTTTTGATTTTTGATGTTTTTGGTGGATATTTGTGGTCCCTATTTTCATGTATTACAACCTGTCATTTTCCAACAGATGAGATAACTACAGAGGTATCAAAGAGCGCTTAAGAACATTTGGAAGATAACTTCTAGAACATCCCACCCTCGATCCAACCTCTTCAAAATCATTAATGAACCAATTAATGTTGTAAAATGCTCGAGAATTCATTTTTGGAGAACTTTCTCCAAGCACTAACGAGAATGAACGAGAATAATGACCATGAAAGAAAAAATGTGATGGGAAATAAAAAAAAAAGAAAAAAAAATATCTGCTTTTCATATCTGCTTATATTTGGTACATCTATATAAATGAAGTGTTTCTATAGGAGATTGTGGAAGCTATCGATTTTAACACAAAAAACTTGAAAATATTACACTTTTTTCTAGGCATTTTCAGTGAATAGTAAACACTATACTAATAGGTCTGTTCGCACAGAAATTGCACAATAGCCAAAGTGAATTTCATTGGTTGAAACTAATTTTCTGATTGTTCATGACTGTTCTCAACCAATAAAATTCGCTCTCACTGGTTTGTAATTCCTGTGCGCACCAAAAGTGCGAACAGACCTATTTAAACGCTTCAAAATGAATACTAAATGAAAAACCTGCAAACGGGACGACAGAAACTGACGTGTGAATCCCTGAAATCCAAACCCTTCTGGTCGGCTGTTGGGAATTTTTTTCGATCCTCGGACCCCAGTGTTGGAAAATAAATGTTATTTATTGTGATAATTTTTATCAAGGAACATTCTCGTTCGAGCTGATTCATGCTTTTGGGAAGGAACGTTCCCACTAAAGTCTTGAACGTTCACGATCGTTCGCGAAAGTTCTTCGCGAATAAACGGGAACGTTCCATCATTTACAACACTAGAACCAATTAAAAACTTTGGAAAGCATTTTGAAAAGCTTCAGAATGCGCTAGCGCTAAGTTAGGACATTTTCATGCATTTCAAGACGCTCTAGAGTAGTTTAAAACTTTGATACAGAAGATTTTCGATTCAATTTTCAATCCTCCTGCATTTGTTTGAGACAAATTGGAATCTTTGAGAACATTGTAAAACGTTACAGAATACTTTAGAATCAATTTAGAACTCTTGAACAGACCAGAACACTTCTGAACTTTCGGCAACATTTAAGAAAGCTTTTGGAACACTCTAGAACACTTTACAAATCATACTTTTGGAAACAATCTAAAACTGGAAATTTTTAGAATATCTTAAAAATCGTTATATTATTATAATACTTTAGAACTAACTAAAAACTTCCATGAACATTAGAACACTCTAAAACTTTCCTAACTTAAATTTAGAATTTCAATTAGAACGCTTTAAAATATTTGGGAGATTTCTGATAACCTTGAAACATTCCGGTGATTCAAGAACATTAAGCAACCAATTGAAAACTTTAGAAAGCATTTTCCAAGGCATTTTCAAAAGCTTCAGAATGCGTTTGTGCCAATTTGGAACATTTTAAGTATTTGGAGATATTCTAGAGCACTCTAGAATAAATTTAGTACTTTGATGAGCTTCAGAAGACTTTCAATTCAATTTTCAATCCTGCATTTATTTAAGACAAATTGGAACTTTCAAGAACATTGTAAAACGCTACAGAACACTTTAGAATCAAATTAGAATTTCAGAAAAATTCTAGAACGGATCAAAACTTTTCCGAGCTTTCAGGAAGATTTAAGAAAGCTTGAAGTAGGCTTTAAAGTTTAGCTTTAGATCCAAGTTAAAATCACCAATTCCAGGAGTATTTTAGAACCCTCTAGAGCAACGGAATTTCTGTGGAAACAATCTAAAACTGGCAACTTTCAGAATATGTTGAAAATCGTTAAATGATACTACAGAACAACTTAAAATTTTCATGGACATATAAAAACAATCTTAAACACATTCAGACTTTAGAATTTCAATAAGATGTAGGTACTTATCGAAGAGCGCTTAAAAATATTTGGGAAATTTCTGATATTTTCTAGAACATTCCAGAATTAGTTATGGAATTCAGAATTTTATTTTAATTTTCTCCGAGATTTTCTCCCTGTGAAAGGAGTAAGTATGTTTCAAAAAAGATTTTTTATTTTTGTGTTTTCTGTGAGTTTTGTGTCAACTTATATGGAAATACTGGAAGAGAAAATTGTTAGCTAACCCTAATTTTAAGGGTTTGATTTAGGGACGCAGGAGTTTTTCAAACATTCAATTTTGATGGTTCCAGAAGCACAAAAGTGTAGCATAGTTACCTACTTCGATTTGTGATAGATGTATTTTTCAAAATGAGGTTGATTTTGTGCTTTTGAGAGTGCCCTGCAAATTAGATGACTTTTTAATTGATTTTCTGGAAGGATATACCTATATATGAGGAGAGATCCAGAAAAACTGTATGCCCAGTTTTTAGTTTAAAATAGACAATGCTCATTTTCTTTAGTTTCTAAACTCATTTCTCAAAACCCAAAGGTTATTTTTGGAGAAATTTCAGCTTGTCACACAGTAGGTACGTAGGTAGGTGCTATTATGATTTATGATGCACTTAAGCTAGCACCTGGACAAAATAGTATATTGTGTATTTAGGTGGAAAAGTGACACATTCCCAGCCGATGGTGTAAGTTGAAGGGCGAGGCGTAGCCGAGGCCGGCAAACACCGAAGGCCGAGAATGTGCTTTTTCACCGTAATACACATACTATTTTTTCTGCGATCGGTGAAATATCTGTTAAATGTTTGTCTTTTTGTTCCAATTAGTCAGCAGTACGAGAATCACTTTCCCGGCCTAGGCCGGAAAAGTGTTTCCCATATTGTTATTCATTGATTCCTTAGCAACTATTGAAACATAATTGAAATACCAGAATAGTGAGTTTTGCGACCTGTCAACCGGTCAAAAATGCTGACATTTCTTGTCAATCGCAGAAAATATTGTTTTTGTCTTGGTTTTTGTCCAAAAAGTAAAGGAGCCCAAAAATTTATTGGTCTCTGAAAAACTCGTAGAAAAAAAAAAGAAAAATAATTCAGAATGCCAACTGTGACTAGGAAATTGGAACGGTGTTTGCCAACCTCTCCTCCCTATGCAATTTTAAATTGCATATTTTTGCAGAATTTGTAACCTTTTTTATTAGGATAAGCCGAGGGATAAGCCAATTTCCTAATTCTCAATTATTGTTCTTCCCAAATATGAAAGGAACTATTTACTTACAAATCAAGAATAATTAATAAATTGGCGAGTAAATTCGGTTCCTAATAATTGTAATATTTTAGAAAATTTCAACAGAGATCTAGATACCTATAAAATATCCCTCATAACTGGTTAACTGAGTGCTTGTTTGAAGCAAAAATAGAGATTGGATAAGTAGACTATACCTACTGCTAAAAATACCTTGTACTGTAGGTAATTTTAAACAAAATATGAATTTTGGAAAATTTAACATTTTAATCCAATAGGTACCTAAACATTAGAATTCTTTAACTGACAATTATATTTTTTATTGTCTCATAAGTAGAAACACTAATTTATTTATAAACGATTTGTTGGTGGACTTACATGTTTTCTCCTATTTATGTCCATTTCCTCCCTGTAGGTTTTCGGGTGATTTCCTGTAAGCTCATCCTATATTGTTTCAAGTATCACAGAAAAAAAAAGCCAAGGAATGCCAGTTGGTACAATTTTAACACAAAAAATTCGTCTGGTATGTATGTAATTAAATGCAAATTGACCAGTTCTTTAATAACACAAGGTAGCTTTCGAACTGAAGAAGAAACCCCTCTCTGCTCTCTGACCCTACTTCAATCACAAATCCGAAGAACTCGGTGTCGCTTTACCGAATCGAACACCTGACATTTCTATCAGCGACTGACTTGTGAGTCAGCTCAGAGTAATTTAGAAAATTGAAAACAAACCCCGCAAAATATAGTGGTGGCCCTGACATCTGCTACCGAACACTGGTAAATGTATGCGAGGCAAACAAATAGAAGTAGAAGGTGATAAAGAAACGCCAATAACAAGTTTAAGCTATCTACAATAGATAGCACTTTCGCACCTATTGCATTCACCTGCCTGTCGTGAACTAACAAGAGAAAATTCTCAAATTGAGTGCTATATTGTCACAGCCTCTCTGTCACGGGAGATGTAGGGTGGATAGATGGAGAGAAACTCGCTCAGTTTTATATAAAAAGGTGTATATTTGCTAAGAAGTCATTACGTCATGAATCCTCCAGATTCCAGGATACATACTCTTCCGTGGGAAGGGCCACACGTTCGACGCTACTTAGGAAGAAATGTCTGTTTGATATTTGATGCTAATTTTACGTAGAATGTTAATCATCGTTTAACTGATCCTCATCTAGAGGGGCTTTTCCAGGGTGGCGGTACTGGCACTAGATGACGATACAGTTTGTCAGAGCAAAGTCTCAGAGGGTCTTTCCCAGGGTGGCAGTACTTGCACTGGGGAGACTTGATTCCATAGGGGTATTCCCAGGGTGGCGGTACTAACACTGGTTCAAGTCTGTCTGTTGCTCGGCTTGGCCCACTATTTATATAAATTTATTGCTGAATTGCAATAAACATCCGATCGAATCGGCAATTAAATTTAATAAGGTTGAATACCGGGTCCTCCTTTTGCGGTTTAGCTATATATTCTGTGCTACTACTAAAGCCGTCTCAGAACCATACCTGCCTAATTGGTCGGCAAAGGTCTAATTTTTGGTTGCAAAAGGTCTGTTATAATAGACTGATCGTCCTAATACTCTATATTACTTATTAGTATTAACTTTTTTTCGAGAGTCTTCAAGTACCTATTTTCTCTTCGAAATTTCATCAGATTGACAACAAGCTTTTGATTCAAGTAAATATATTTTTGATACGGAACGAAACAACACATTCCCAATTTTAATAATTCTGAAATTCTTGACCAAAGAAAGAATTGCAACCATATTGTTAATTGTTACACATGATAGGTATCTATCATCAGAAAAAAAAACAAACTCTAGGTTTTCATGTGGAAATATTTATTAACATTAATCCATAAATGTATATTTGATTATTTAGTCCTTACAATAATTGTTAGTTTCCTTGAGACACATAAAAGTAAGTAAATGCAACAAATGGAATTAATAATACCTCAAAGCATACACATTACATGTCATCTGTGTTAAGCAATGCTAATTCAGGCTTGTCCCAACCCAATTCTTCTGGGGTGGGAATACCAAGTTCGGTTAAAGTAGGCCTCAGCTCCTGGATGTACCACGGGTAGATTTCGTTCACTTTGTTGCCACATTTGTCTTTGACGGCTTCAATAACCCTGATGGCCATGGCCAAGTCGTTGGCTCTACGGCAAGCGCGCAGGATGGCAATCGTAAGTTTGGGTTCAGGAACCAAATCGTGACCCCACAAATCGTGTACTCCACGCCTGATGTCCCAGCCGTCTATGTTCGGGTTGTTAAAGTAGTTCTCGTAACTGAAAAAAACCACAAACAACACAAATTCAACAATCATTGCAATTACAAATTCTAGTCATTTTAATACCCTAGTCCCATAGACAGGGAGCCTCTGATCATGTCGGCACCACTACTAGCTTCGTTATGATAAGGACTAATAAAAGATTATATTATTATATGACCCAATGTATTGGGCAGTGAGAACTTAAAATAGTTTACACAGTTAAGCATATGAATTCGGTAGGCAAATATAGGCACTGGAAAACTACTTCTTGGTAGAGATAGAAGTTATTTATTTGTTGGGGGTGTGATTAAGGGCTAGTTAAGGGTTATTTTTGGTAATATAATTTCTTGTTTTATTGTTTTGTCACACAAAGCTGTGTGACAAGACAAGTTAGTGCCCATTTTCTTTAAACAGCCTTTGTGGCACTGAATTGGATGAAAATTAAAGAAGCTGTGAGCCAAAAACTGTCAGTGTCTCTGTCATTGTCATTTTTGGAAAATTTCCAAGGTTTGATAAATTCAATTTTAAAGCTTCTCAGGTGCAAAACTGTTGGAACAGATATACATTTTGTCTAGTTAAGTAGACACAAAAACTATCACAATAACTGGGGATAACTCACTGATGGATAACTGCATACAAAGTTGAGTGGTAAAATGCAATTTAACCTGTTTAGCAAAACTTTACCACGTAGCAACCATTATATTCTCGCCATTATCACTTCATTTAGATTTTTTCCATTATATGAGCATTATTTCCTAGAAAATACTTCAACTAGATATTATACCAAATGAGTACTTTTTTAAGTAAAATACTGAATACTAAGCGGGTACTTGAAATAGTTTAAACTTCAAGTAGGTACCTACCTACTTTTGAAAAATACTTTTTTAAGAGATTCAAATTTCCAGTACACTTTTAACCTTTGTTAGTGTTCCATAAAAAAATACATAATAGGTGTTCTGGGGTATGTCACACCCCAATAAGAAATTCGCTTGAAATGCAGTTTTAGTTTTAATTTTTGACAAAATGATGGAACATGAATTCTGCCTTGCAACTATGTTTTGAATTTCTAGCTCTGTTCCAATCGACATGAGAACCAGTAATTTCCAGTTGCCCACCTATTTTTCAATTAGTTGAACGTTTATCCTACTTGACAAATGAATTGTTCGACTGGAGATAACTGTTCTAGAACGGTTCTCATGTCGGTTGGAACAGAGCTGAAGAATACAAAACCAAGTAAAAAAATAGGAAGGTGGACCGAAATAAACGATCAGGTAGGAATTCCAGTTCACAAAAAAAACACTAAAACAATAATCCAACAATCCAGCAATAAACTTACCACCCCCCACCCCTATTATCTTGAAGTTGAAAAATTTCGGAAAAATCCCTGAAACACGTCAACTTTAATTTGAAGGGGGATGAGTTTTTATGCAAAATTCTCCTCCCCCTTCTCAACCCCCTAGCCCCCAGAGCCACCCTCTAGAAAATCTTGAATGGGTGGGGGGGTCAAGTGATAGAACATTTTGGAGGGTTTTTAATTCCATACATTTTGGTACTAAATTTAATCCCTAAGTTCAACTGTTTAGGAAATATTGACAGTTGAAAATTGACTTTTTTGCTACTTTGACAGGATGTAAAATCTGAATGGGTAATTTTAGAGAAAAACCAATTTTACATTCTCATGTTAGATTTTCAGAAACTATCATTTGACACCAACTTTGAATTTAACTCGAGATTTAATTTTTAACTGGAATTTTTGATCATGGATTACTTAAATTCAAAGTTGCTGTCAAATGATAGTTCATAAAAATCTAAGATAAGAATGTAAGATCAGCGGTTTTCCTCTTAAATTAACCGTTTAGGTTTTCCAGCCTGTCAAAGTAGCAAAAAAGTAAATTTTCAACTGTCAATATTTCCAAAATAGTTGAACCTAGGGATTAAAATCTAGCACCAAAATGTATGGAATTAAAACCCTCCAAAATGTTGTAGCACTTGACCCCCCTGCCATTTAAGATTTTCTAGGGGGTGACTCTGTGGGCTAGGGGGTTGAGAGGGGGGAGGAGAATTTTTCATAAAAACTCATCCCCCTTCAAATTATAGTTGACGTGTTTCAGGGATTTTTCCGAAAATGTTCAACTCCGAGATAATAGGGGTGGTAAGTTTTAAAATGAACACCCTGATGTATAATCAACACATAAACAAAATCAATAAGCCCAAAAACACAAATCGTGAAGAATTGCTACAGGAACTCAAAAATAGAATTATTAATGAATACAATTTTGGTTCGAAAAAAGGAACCGTCCTTTTTTCTAGAACGGTTCAAAACAATCGCACAGTTTATCATACAACAAAATGACAACGGCTCGGCGTCAGACTATCGGCTATCAAAAATTCCGATAGACCAATAATAGATTGTGCGATTGTTTTGGACCGTTCTAGAACCGTCCTTTTTTCGAACCAAAACAAAGCTAAAATTGATACTTCAGCAGTGTTTTCGGGAAACAGACTATACATTTTGATGTTTGACCCACACCAACCAGATAGCGCATCACCAATTGAACCTCTATAAGAAGCAAACAATACGCAACACAATGTCCAGTAAAATAAAACTATATATTTTAAAACAACATTATTGACTACACCAAAAAAAATATCAACTCAATCACTTTATCCGTGACGAGAGTGTTGACTGCTTAATGCTAGTGAAGACCAAACTCAAAATCTCAACAAACATAGATCACCGGGACTGGAAGTCAATAAGCAAAGTAAGATACCAAATATAACCAACTACCCTAGAGAAGGAAGCCTAGTCCAATCTCACCCACAACTTGAGATGAAAAATGAAAATCCCTCAAGAATAAATAACCCCTTGAACGAGTGCATACTCTTCTATTCCAACAAGAAAAGCTACACATATTCCTTATTTACATTCGCCCTACATCCAAAATAGAAGAAACTATATTCATAAAAGCCTCACTTTATAAATATTTGATAATTATTGGAGATTGGAATTTCAACCAAAGGAAGAAAAAACAAGACATGATGGCAGCTTCACAAGAGCTCAGACGCCTCCAACTTTCCGGATGCAAAACAATGCTGATTCCAGTTCCGATTCAATTGTATTCTCAAAAAAATTTAAAAGGGTGTTTTGCGAGGATTGAAGTCATTCCTGACCTGGGATTGGACCACATGGGTTTCAAAATGGAATTAGACCTAGAACACATCCTTACAGAGGATAGAACAGTCAAATATAATTACAAAAAATGCAACATTGGGAAGATCAATACAGACCTAATCACATACATAAACCAGCAGGAACAGTCAATAACCACAGACCAAATCACAGACTTTAGCAACAAAGTATCTGAAATTATTGAACAAAATACTCCGCTAATAAAAAATCAAAACTTTTCGTATCCTGTCCCATAGTCAGATTAATTAAGGAAAAGAGGAAAATGTTAAGGACAATACTATGCCAGGCCAGATCCAGAAATAGAAACCAAAATAAAAAATTTGGTAAAGATATTCAAATCTTCAAATACAAGAAAAATTCGTGGCTTCAAACCTGCCAGGAGATAAAATGTAGAACAAGACAAAAAAATTTATTCAAAAATATGTAAATTGACACGCTACAAGGTCTCCTCGGTAAATCCCAGACTTGGAAGAAAATGGCATCACATATTCCACGGATCATGAAGAAGTAAAAAAGTTCCACGTATGAGCAACATTTCACAGAGCGACCATCCTGAATTTGACCAGACATTTGATCAGACAACATTCTGTGGACTGTGGTATAGCAGTTGGAAGTTGCAGTCCACAAGTATATCATGAAAATTCTAGAATACTGTCTTGATAGAAAATGTTTTCCAGAGATATGGAAAAAAGGTATCATAATAAATATACCAAAACCACACATGGACCATAAACGTCATTACATTACTTCCTGTTATGGGAAAAATATATGAAAAAATAATACGACTCAGCCTTGCACAAACATAGTTAACACATCAATTCGGTTTCAAAGCGAAAGATTCTACAATCCATCCACTAACACTATTAACCTTCAACATGGAAACAGCCAAACATCAGAACATGAAGTCAGCAGCTTTTTTCTTGGACATGAAAGAAGCCTTCGACAGTGTCTGGCACAGAGGTCTCCTATACAAACTGTACCTATATCTTAGAAGTTCCTGAACATTTCATAGAAATTATCAGAAACTTTTTAGCGAGCAGAAAAATTCAAATTAAAATCAATAATCAGAAATCCCAAGAATTTGGTCCACAACAAGGAGTACCACAAGGATCGCCTCTAACACCATTGTTGTATAACGTAAATTGCCATGACATAACTAAAAATATTGCCAATTTGGATGCAAACAAATATATCTTGCAGTTTGCTGATGACACAGCACTCACAGCACTGATCACCCAAGCAAAAACTAGTTAGAAGCTGCTACTAAGCTTCAACAATATACTCAGCAAATTGAGATCTGGTTCCAAAAATGGTGCTTGACTCCAAATCCATTAAAATCACAATATCTCCTGTTTAACCACTTAATCCGTGCAACTTCACCTCAATTAACCTTACTCAACCAACCAATCAGGCCAAAGCTGACTGCTAAATATCTGGGAATTGTAATCGACACCAAACTCAGTTTTAATAATCACCTCGATAATCACACCAAAGCCATAAAAACTAAAGCAATTAACAGAGCAAAGCATTTCAGAGCATTAACTTACAAGAACCACGGAACTAACTTCAGAACGGCCACAAAATTTACAAAGCAATCGGTAGACCTCTTCTAGAATATGGATACACAATCCTTCTTAATCTTAGACCACCGGCTCAAAAAAAACATAAAAACAGCAGAAACTTCAGCTCTCCGAGCAATAACCAGAATCTGACATCCTCAAAACTCACTGTTTAATCCAAGAAATGAATTGCTCGAGGAATTGCTCTATCAGAGGACAGGAATTGAACCAATCCATCAGAGACTCCACCAGCTCAGCAAGAAATTTGTTTCAAGAACACATAACGTGAAGATCCTAGACCCACTATGTAGAAGAAGAGAGAACAGGGTTTCCAGACACAGTTTCCCTATACAATACAATTGAGAAGCTTTAACAGTAACAAACCCCCATTTAATGTAAATTATATTATGATTTTTTTTTTTTTTTTCTTCTGTTCATATGATTTTTTTTTTGTTTGTGTTACACAAAAGTAATATTCTTAGTTATACAACATAACATATTGTAAATATTTTGTAAGTCATTGTAAAGTTTACCTTGGCTGAAGGACTTGACAGCCCTTTGGGAAACCAAAAAAGTTCTTAAATAATAATACAATACTAAACTCGAAATTGTTTTTGACAAATATCTAAAAAAATATTGAACAACTTGAATCAAACCAAATTAAAAAAATTACAATAGCTCTATTCCAACAGACATGAGAACTGTTCCAGAACCAGATATTTCCAGTAGCCCACCTATTTTTCAATAAGTTGAACATTCATCCTAGTTGACAAATGGATTGATCGACTGAAAATTACTGTTCTAGAACGGTTTCTCATGTCTGTTGGAACAGAGCTATTATTAATACCATTCAAAATGCTGTACACAAAGAATTGCGTGAACAGTATTCACTGTTCCGGGGTATACCATACCCTAACCGTCTTCACAGTACTCCGATTTCACGCAAAAGGTTCATAGAGATGCTACTGTGGGTGCGTTCAATTACCATATTATTATGCATGAACTAAAGCTACTAGACGCTAGACGTCTTTTAACTGCTGCAATTTTAGTTTTACAGCTGTAAATAGCCTGATATACCCTATAACACTAACGAAGGGTTAGGTAGGAAGTTCAGTAAGAAGTACCTACTTCTCTTAAAATGTATTGATTGGTTAGTTTTTTGTAAGTACTCTCCTCATAAAAGTAATGAAGTGAAATACCCCAAGTATCAGATGTACTTACTGAATATTTTACTAAGTTATTATTATTTTTCTAACCAGAATTAGTCAGTACCTCAGCTCTGTACACTTGTTAATCGGATGCATTTATTTCTTTGGGCTAGTGCAAGAAACCTATTACATGGGTATTCTGCAGAGAGTACCTACCGTTGATCAAACTGGTCGTCAGTTTCAGTATTGTGTTTGGACATATATCTCACTCCTAACCATGCAGCTGGTCGGGCTTGGACAACATTTGTCGAGTTTGCAGCACTCTTGGCAAGAGCGTGGATACGGAGAGCTGAGGCTCTAAACATCTTGCTAAAAAATACTGCTTGGAAAAACAAGAAATGCCTATGAAAAAATTCGGATCTTGGTTGAAACTGGAATGATGTGATGTAACTTTTTTTTTTGACGTGAACATATAGGTTAGGTTTTTCTGGTTGAAAGACAATCAGCTGGGCGCGTTCGAATCATATCGGTTACCAAAATCCAAGCATTTACGTTTGTTTTTAGGGAGTGAACTCTGCGCCTACCGGTAACTGCTGTTTGTTTCATTGATCGTGTGCCTACCGTTTATGTATACCGCGAAAACATTATGGTAGGTCCCCAATTGCCACATGATATAACGCCTATCGGTAGGTACTCTTTGTTGAAAGAATCCTGAGCCTACCGGTAGGTTGATATTAATTCAAGAATCCGTCGCCTAACCTACCTGTCCTACCTAACTATACCTGCATTTACAAGAAGGTGACATATTTGAAAATGATTTTCCAAGTTTTTGGTGGATTTATGCTTCCGAGGATCTTATCTTTTAAGTTTGGCGAGCGGAGCGAGCAATCAGAGACTTGAAAATGATTAAAATTTCAAGGTGTTATATTTAATAAAGGTTTTTCACGTTTTTGGTGGATTTGCGCTCCCAAGGATCCTCTCTTTGAGGTTTGGCGAGAGTAGTGAGCAATCGAAGACTCAAAAACAAACTCAAGGTGTGTGCAGAAAGATTTTTTAATATAGAATATAGGTTGCCGTCTAGCGAATGAAGCAGATTCGAAACATCAACAAGTTTAAAGCCCAAATTGAAAAAATGTTAAGATACTAATAAAGGCTTATGTGGACGAATTTCTTAATGACTATACTATTACTAATAATACAATATTTCACCAACGTATTTAGCATTAGCAAGAGCTGACTGGTAGGATATAGGATATACGGATTCTAAAGTAATAAAACACCTTCCAGTAGGCGCTTGATCAATTGACGAAAAAGGACCTACCCTACCAGTAGGCGCACAATCGGTGGATAAAAAAGGACCTACTGGTAGGCGTACGATCTTTGGATAACAAAGGACCTACGGGTAGGCGTAGGATTCACTCCCTTGTTTTTATTGTTTTTAGCATTGACTTTTACTGATGGAGTATGGAGTTAGCGTAGCATGTAAAGCATCCTTACCTTAATGTCCTTATATCTAAAGAACTGCACGAAAGTAGTTGCGAGAAGGTTCCATAGAACGAAATGTGATTGGGTTGGATAAGGCGAATTCAGGAGTGCGTTCGAAATCACCCTGGGCGTCACACCGAGTGCACACCAGGGCCGAGTTCAGAAATGACGCACAGGGTGCAAGTGTGATTTCATGGGTGTGCCTGAATTGACAATTGGCCATTGGGCCCATAGCATTGTCTAGCATTGTTGAACAGCTAGGGCGTCGCACCGGTGTCACACTCACACTGGGTGCGTCATTCCTGAACTCGCCCCTGCTATGAATTATTCATGGCTGGTGTGCACTCGGTGTGATGCCCAGAGTGATTTCGAACGCACTCCGGGTGTATTCGGTTGAATCTTTCGTTCCGGTTAGCTGTTCAGTTTGTACCGATAGGCTGCAAAACCGGTCATATAAGGAGCACGGTTCCTGAAATTAATTGCCACCAGGGGCGCGTTCACAATTGTAAAACAACGGTAAAACTTAACCGGGTTAAATATTTAACTGGTTGAAAAGAATGCGCTTGGGATGAGAAATCCGTGAACGACTAACGCCTGCGCCATAACAAGGTAGGATTTGATTTTGTTTACATACGTTGTGTTTCGAATGTTTCGAGATGGATCCGGGAATAATATCTTTAAAGGCTGGTTCATGCATGAAAATATTTTCCGTTTCTGTAACTTAGTCGCTATCTATATCCGTAAGTAATGTATAAGTTGCATGTATTTATATGCAGGTGTTCATGCACATTACTTTTCCGTATCATTTTCTTTATTCTCTATTGAAGATAGTATTAACTTTTATCTTTACGGATAAAATCGACGGCGCCTGCGCAGTAGATAGAAACATCCAAATTTTTCGACTTAACCTTAAAAACAGGAAATCGTTAAAAGTAAACAACAAATACGTCTTGAAATACGTGTCTGGAATTGAAAATAATATTTATAAAAGCCTGATAAGACCAAACAATAATCTCAATTGACAAAGAAAATCTTATTGAAACCGTTCGCAGTTTCCCGTACACATCAACAATGTCGTTATATATGACTGATGAAAACTCTTAATTTTTGGTGCATGAAATACCTTGAATTTTACGGAAAAAGAAAAGCCTATGCATAAGGAAAAAGTTAAAAAAACAGAAAAAGAATATATGCATGAACCAGCCTTTAAAAGTACTATTGAAACTTCTTCGGATTCGTCTGATACAGAGGAAGAAGTCAGCTATGCTGTAGCAGAAGCTGCATGTGCTAGCGCTCGCAGTTTAAGTTTCAAGCCTGAAAAAAGGCATATTGAAAGACAGGATAATTTTATGGCAACAATACGCAATTATAGCGATAAGGAGTTTCAGGAAAATTTTAGAGCTTCCAGAGAGGCTTCCTGGAAAACTTGAAAACCAGTTGAAGTCAGCAATGTATGACCCAGAAAGATTACCAACAGTATTGTTTATGAAATTTCAAATATTCTTGTAAAACGCCTGCGCGACAAATTTTACCCATGTCTCAGAGTGAGTTAAAAAGCTGTACAACCGGATAAAATTATCATGGCTCTGTGAACGGAGCAAATATTTTAACCGGGTGAATAAGGTAGATCCGTGAACGACTTAACCCTGCAAAAGACGCGCTCGGTGTGCACTCGGTGAGCGTCCGGCGTACGACTGTGAACGTACTCCAGAGTAACCGAGATCCGTATGAGTAGCTGAAAGCAAGGATTAGCGCAGGTGCAATGATTCGCAGCTTGCCACAGCTGCTTGTAACCTCCAAACATTTCCCAGTGGGTTGAACTAAAAAAACAAAAATATGTAGTGGCCTTGTTTTTTCGTTTTCTTGTAACACAAATATTTGTATTTATTTTGATTTTAATTATTCAATAAAAATAATAAACTATTATCCCATTTGATGAGTTTGTATACTCACACGACACTTTATCATTATTATTGTGATTTGAAACATTCCTTCCTTCATCTATATTACAATAATTTGCAATTTTAAGAAAAACATATTATTCCAATAATGAGCGACAGCATCAACACTCCTCAAAGTGCAAGATTGGTAAGTTGATAATTATATAATATTTTTTTTGCTCTCAGGAAGATACCTGAATGAGTCTGTATCATTCTAACGGACACCAGTTTTTTACTGTAGTACTTTTAAAAAGAAGATCTGTTCCATAGTAAGTTTGATAAGAAAAAATGCCTGATTTTTCGGTGTTTTGAAAAAAAAAATCACTTATGATGGCTTTCCTCCACAGTCCACAGACACTTCACAGCCATAAGGACACAAGGAAGTGTTGTGTTGCCAAATTGTCATCAAAGCCTCAAAATTGATATTTATGTATTTCCAAATTAGATACAATATTAGGTGTAAACATTTTTGGGGCCCACAGTGTGCTAATAACAATCAAGGACCAAGGATATGAAACAAAATAATAATCAAAAATGTGTAAAGTTTAACCATTATTAATTGAAATTTCATAAAAAAAGGCGGCTCAGTTGATCTCTTTGAAGTCACGTGGGAATCCATAGGCGTCTAAATATTATTATCAAGACAAATGAAAACAAATTGGTTAATAAAGAATAAACATACTCCAGATATTTCTATAAAAACTGAAATGCCGAACGCCATTGCCCCGAAATTCTAGCTGATTTACCTCTGGAATACAGTGGAGTTAATACGTTAAATAAATGGGCAAAATTCATATAGTAGGTAATCCTTAAAATTCCGTTTTAAACTATTGAAATAAATCAAATATAAATATTTGAATGGGACTATTATTCCTTTATTAAAAATTCAAATTTGAAATTGATTTTTATTCAATTGTCTGTGTAATTTTATACTTTTGTCCACTTCTAAAGAGAATATCTCACACTGTCAACAAGAGCGGCTTAGCTTTGTCGGCAAGTGACAAAGCCTAGCGGCATCGCCAACAATTTTCAAGTTTTTTTGCCAGCGTGCGGTGTCTTTGTTATAGTGTACCAGGACTTGGCATAAAAATATAAAAATTATTTTATATTATTACAAGGGGTATTTTTCTAATTTTGAGTAGTCACCATAGAGATGCGATTTTCAATTGATAATGGTTATACTTTACAATCTCAATTGATAAAAAGTGTTGAACAGGAATTGAAATTAACAGAAATAATCCTTCACTAACCCTTGATCACACCCCCAACAAAATAACTTAGTCAATCTACCAAGTAGTTTTTCAGCCTATATGAAAATTTGTCTATATACTGACTTTCACAAAAAACTTTATTATCACCAACACCTTTCACCTGTTCTATTCAATTTTTGAATAGAAAATCATTATTATTACATCACATTATTAAAATATGATTGCTAAGTTTTATCTTGTAGGCAAAGCAAGTTTATCATTATTTGTAATCTCTTCTAATAAATTGCATTTAATTTTTAACATAAAAATAACAAATTTTTTCAAATGTAATTACAATAATTAAGTATTAATGTTTGCAAGATTTGCTTTTGCTCAACTTACTTATATTACTATTGAATATTAGTAATATACATGTATTGAATTTATTGTTAAAAACTAACATTCTATTATCCCAGCTGTTCAGGAAGAACAATGGAATTTAAAGATTTTGGTCTTACAATTTTTTTCTTAATTCTTAGATGATCATTTCACATCAGTTAATTTTGTCATTTTCTTCATCAACCGCCAAATCGTAATTAATATCTTTCACTCCTAAAATCAAAGATTTTTATTTATTTATTGGTACACTTTACAAACAGCCTGAGCGAGAGCTTCAATTCATTAAAGCTAATAATAAACATGTCAGTCAACACATCAAGGGGTGATGGGCTCATATTATTGACATGGAAGAGATTTTTTTTTTCAATTTCAAGCAAGCTTTATTGTCTAAAAATGTAGATTTTCATTGACAAAGCAAGAGTAATAATAAAATAAACAAAACAATAATAAAACAAGTAACATCTCAAAGGGGTAATTTTCCTTAGACTAAAAAATATACTTAATATTAAAATTACAGGACAGTAAACTTATGGTGCATGATTAAAATTGTACAAACTCACGCATAAATACATACATAACAAAACAACCAGTCAAAGTCAAGTCACAACACAATTTCAAAATGAATAGGTCTAGACTTATAAAATAGATAAAATGCAATAACTGTAACACAAAGCTCATTTAGTCGTCGTAATACTCTTTTAAACTGTAGAAAGCCTTGGTGGCTAGATATTTTTTAACATTTGACCGAAATGCTTTATAACAGGAAACGTTTTTTATATCCTGTGGTAGTTTATTAAACATTTTTTTACTCTCATAAATTATCGATTGCTTTGTTAAGGCAAATTTTGGTATTGGGAGTGGTAACGTATTATTATTACGAATATAATAATTATTTTCCTGAACAAGACTTGCAGACTTTTTATATATAAGAGATACCGACTCAAGAATAAAAATACAGGGCACAGTCAGAATAGCCTCCTCCTTAAACAAGCCCCGACAGGTTTCCCTACAACCTACCCTGCATAAATATCGAACCGCCCTCTTTTGCAAAATAAATATAGTGTGAATTGAAGATTGTGGCGAAAAACCCCAGAAAGCGATCCCATATCGAATATGGGACTCTATTAAAGAGTAGTAAGCATTTTTTCCTATTTTTTTGCTGAGTTCTTGAGTAACTGCTCTAATGACATAACAGGCACAAGATATTTTTTTTGCTAGGTTGTCTATATGAGAATCAAATTTAAGTTGCTTATCAATGTAAATGCCAAGATATTTTACAGTTATTTTGTTTTCGAGGATTTGATCTTCAATTTTTATATCAGACATGGCACATTTAAAAGTTAAAATATTGGTTTTTTGAATGTTAAAGCAAAGCTTGTTCGAGTCGCACCACTGTTTAATACTTAATAGATCTGATTCGATGGTTAGGTTTAAATTTTCAAGAGTTTTTGAAGTCCATAGTGCGTTGGCATCATCAACAAATGCTGTTAGTTTTGCAGTTACTGGAAGTTTTAGTAAATCATTTACATATATAAGAAACAGTATGGGGCCCAAGACAGAACCCTGTGGCACGCCACAAGAAACTCTTGCCTTTTGTGATGTGTCCCCCTTCACGCTCACAGATTGGTATCTTTCGGAGAGCATCGATCCAAACCAGTTCAAAGGGATTCCCTGAATACCATAATGAGCCAGCTTACGCAACAGTATCCCGTGATCTACACAGTCGAATGCTTTCGAAAAATCACAGAACACTGCCGCGGCAACCTCCTGATCATTAAGTCCCAGATATAAGGTTTCCAAAAATGAGAAAATAGCATCATCTGTGCTTTTACCGTTCTGAAAGCCAAATTGATTTTTGTTTATAATGCCATATGTATTTAAATAGGAGAGAAGCTGTTCTTTTACTAATTTCTCAATAACCTTAGATAATATGCTCAATAGCGAGATTGGTCTATAATTAGAAGGATCAGTGCTGTCGCCCCCTTTAAAAATGGGAATGACAATCGCTGACTTAAGACAAGAAGGGAACACACCAGTTTCAAAAGACTTGTTGATGCTTGATGCCAACATATCTATAGCATTGCCAGGTAATTTTTTTAGGATTCTCAATGAAATGTTGTCTTCTCCTGATGTATTTTGTTTTTTTATTGACCCAAATATTTTTTGGACTTGGTCCCTGTTAGTACAAATCAGGTTAAATTTTTCTGTATGCAAGATTGGTTTCAAGTATGTATGTATGTAGATCAGTGGACAATAGTCTCAAAATTATCTTTGGCACTTTGAACTTAATCGAATCTATGAAATCACAATCTGAGTACCGTAAATTATTGATGATATTATAAATAAATATCACAGCATGAGTTTTCCTCCTGTCACACAACATACACAAATGAAAGCTTTCCAGCATCGATGTGTTTGAGATGGATATATGCCGTTCTTTTTAACATACAAATATCGTAGGAATCGTTTTTGAACCTTTTCAATTTCATAACTGTTAACATGAGTACTTGGTGACTAGATATTAGAAGCATATTCCAAGTGTGGCCTCACTAGGAAAGTATAAAATAAATATATGAGGGCTTTAGTTCATACTCTTTTTGCGCCACGTACTTCAGGTATTCCACAAGGCTCCAACCTAGGACCTCTGCTTTTTATACTGTTCATTAATGACCTAGTTATTTCAATTAAATGTAGCAAACTTGCATATGCAGACGATCCAAAACTTTTCCATAGAGTCAAGAATATTGATGACTGATGCATCTATCTGTAAAGCAACTTGGATCTTTTAAACAATTGGTGTGTACAAAATGTACTTGGGTTAAATGTGTCAAAGTGTAATATAATAAGTTATAACAGTTTGAAAACACCTGTTCTTTTCAATTATTCTATTGATCAAGCTCCGTTGAACCAACTAACCCAAATCACTGACCTTCGTGTCATACTTGATCAAAAATTTACCTTTATTCCCCATGCATCTATCCCATTCTAGATGGCTAGTTCATGTATGGGTTGGATTGGTTCTTTGATTGGTTATTTCCCCCATACCGTTTCTTGGAAGAAACCTGAAAACAGGTTGATAAGAGACTGGATGTATTCCAAAATATTGGAATATATATAACTTACAAGTTTTTCGCTCCTAAACTGATAAATTATGCCATGTTTTTTCAATAGAAAAGCTCAAAAAGAGCCAAAAAAAGATTATTGAAAACGTCCGTAAATTGATATTTAGCCAAATAGATAAGCTATTTTGAGCTTTTTTCAATAACAAGAAAATAACTATGTATTACGTTCTTTAATTTAGAAATTGAGGGAATTCTTAACTACTAGCAGGCAGAACCGGTTAAATGGAACTGTGGATGAACAAATAACAGTTGTCGAGGACCCCTACAAAAATACCAGTGACATGAAGCACATATTCAAAACAGCAACATTATATGGTTACGAGCCTAGTAAAGAACACTTCTCACCTTGGGACTCTAATTTTCCAGAGAATCCAAATAGGTCTGTTTACTTACATGACAGGTATGTGATTGTGTATATCCTAGAATTTTTTATTTATAATACATTTTGATTTTAGTTTAAATCCACTTCTTAACAGATTGAAAGTAATGAAACACAATGATTTGATTGAAATCCAGGCGCTTGAACTTCTAAGTTTGTGTCACACAAATAAGCATATCATTAATGTTGAATCAATTTGTGAATCATCAGATGAAACTGTCGCTCAGCAGTATGATAGCATATTCTTTAATGGCATAGTATGTCAATTCGAATATTAATTTCTTTTGTCAAAGTACACATACTTTTTATAGGCTTCCTATGATAGTGCCATTAAATCCATGAAAATGACAGTTTCAATGGCAAAACTAGTTGCAGAGGGCAACGTTTTGAATGGTTTCGCCAACGTAAGGCCCCCAGGTCATCACGCAACATCTGATGTGCCAAATGGTTACTGTCTATTCAATAATGTAGCCATTGCAGCAAAATATTTGTTGAAAGAAAAACTGGCGAGCAAAATTTTGATTGTTGACTTTGATGTTCACCATGGCCAAGGCACTCAACAGGCATTCTATGACACAGATGAGTAAGTACCTATGTTGATTTTTGTCACAAATTTATCTTGTTGAGAAATCTGAATGCACTTTAATTTAACATAAAAATTATTTTAAAGCAGCTGCTAAAACTGCTCTGTTCTTATTTTTTTACAGGGTCTTGTATTTCTCTATCCATCGGTACGAAAATGGAGAATTCTGGCCAAACTTGAGAGAGAGTAACTTTGACTATATTGGAACTGGCAAGGGTAGAGGTTACAACATAAATGTCCCTCTTAACAAGACTGGACTTAACGATTACGACTATTTGAGCATCATTTTAAATATTCTAATGCCGGTTGCTTATGAAGTAAGGAGAAATTTCACTAATTTGGAATTAAAAAAAAAAAACATGAACATTGACATTTTTGTTACATATTGAGATGTTTACTTATTTTTTATAGTTCGATCCATCCATTGTTTTAGTTTCTGCGGGATATGACGCCTGCATGGGCTGCCCAGAGGTAAATATATATATTTTTTTTTTTTTAGTTTAATCCTGAAATAATTTTGGTGTCTGCTGGATATGATAGCTCTATGGGAGATAGAAAGGTTAATATAGTTTTGTATATTTAGACATGGGTACCGAGAGGGGTATGTTTTTAGTTAGGAAATAGAATGAACTCTTTAGATATAAAGATAAAAAAACACATTCAGGAACCATGGTACATTTTTTGTTTTGTTTTTAGGGTAAAATGGAAGTAACGCCTGCATTCTACCACCATCTGATTACCTCGCTGATGGGTCTTGCTCAAGGGAAAATTCTTGTGGTTTTGGAAGGTGGCTATTTCATACCAAGCCTGGCTGTTGCTGGCGTTCAGACAGTTAGAGCATTATTGGGCGATCCAGCGCCACGATTGCAGTATCACAAAAGGATCGATTCATCAGTTATAGATTCCATAAATGACGCGAAGGCAGCGCTCATGAAACACTGGAAATGTTTTTCTATTATGGAGGAGTCTACTTCAATTAACAACATATTTCATTATGATAAGTGAGTATTTTTTACAAAACTATTATGTGAGTAAGGTAACATTATCTTATTGTTTATTTCGTTTTTGTAAAATTCATCCAAAACCTTTTTTTTTGTTGTGGTCTAATTAACAAGTAAGACTTACAGAATCAAATAATCTTTATTTTTACAACCATACTATTACAGGAAATATTGTAAGTCTAAAAATTGATATTTCTTGTATAGATGCCGTTATCATATGGCTGTTACAAAGTACCTTGGAACAGTGGACCAACCTCCTTTCCCAACTAGAGACATATATAATAAAAACACATATGATGAAAATAAACATTATGAAAATGCCTTGGCAAAACTTGTTGGTATGTAATCCTCAAAATTGTGGAATTGTATTATCATTGTTTCATGAAAGATTTATGAGTAACTATGATGACATTTTTTTTTTAGAAACTTATGACCTAAACCCTAATAAAATTGGCTATGCTGTTAATAATTACTCATTTGGTCATCAGCCTTTGGTAAATTGTCGAGCTCAAGAAGTGGAAGCAAGAGTCGCGGCAATGAAAACCAAGTTAATTGAGTATGGGCTGCTTGACAAAATGATGATTATTGAACATAATGTGAGTAAAAAATATTTATGTACTAAAACAATTTGAAAAGAAAAAATTGAGCCACTCTTTCCTCCACTTTCTTGAGTAACTGCAACCAGTTCTCAATGACTGCGCAATGTCATTTAATGTGTTAAATTGATACAAATTTTGTGTTCTGACAAACTGTGAATGTTTATAAGTACTGTTTTTTTTTTGGCAACTCTTCAGGTTATAAAATTTACTCAAACGGTGTAAACATTTTCTGGAATAAATATATAAATAAATAAATTTAAAAAAAATAAGTTTACCTTTGTAATACATATATTTTTTTTAATAAAGGATGATGTTTTGCCAGACAATTGGGAACAAGTGAATGAGGTCATTTTTGAGACGCACGGAAAAGAGTATTTACATGTAATCGAAAAAGAAGTCGAACAAAGCGATAAATCGGACTGGTATCTAACAAATAAATCATTTATTGTAAGTAAACTCGTGTCATATTTTTTGAAATTTAATTTCTCAAATTAATATGTATAATACTGCATCCTAGATTCAATTTAATTTCCCAATTTCACAGGTGTGCCAACGTTCCTGTGCAATTTTATGCACATTGCTCAGAAGAATTTGTGATGGCAGCATTAGGCATGGAGTTGGATTTGTACGTCCTCCAGGACATCACGCCAAGGCGAATGAAGGTAGCGGTTTCTGCCTGATAAACAATGTTGTTGTCGTTGCTAACTATTGTTTGAAATACATAAAGAATATCCAAAGGTACTTTAGGAGGTTTTCGAAATATCAAATTTCAATAATTTTCATGTTGTCACCTAATATCTGATTTATATCCTTATAGGATTCTTATTCTTGACTTCGATGTCCACCATGGGGATGGTACTCAAGAACTTACATATGATAAATCTAATATTATGTACATCTCAATGCATCGATTTGATTCCGCAAAATTTTATCCTAAAGATAATTCTGGTGACTTTACAATGGTAGGGGAGGGCAGAGCTGCGGGATACAATGCAAATATTGCATTTAACAGTGTAAGTTACATTTTTGTTTTAAACAAATGGTAAGAAACCTTAACTAGGACTCACTCCTCAAAAATTGTCTATAGTTCACCCATTGGCCATTGCTTTAAAATAGCTCAACATTTTCTAACACCTACAATTCTCATATTTCAATTTTTTTTTAGGCAAAAATGGGCAATGCCGACTATTTATACACATGGATTAGAGTTGTACTGCCATTAGCCTACTCTTTCAATCCAGACTTGATTTTGGTTTCTGCTGGTTTTGATGCTGGAGTGAACGATCCTCTAGGTATAATATTATAATTCAATATGTCATGAATTCCACATTACCGATTATCGCCAAAATTATTGCCTAATTGAAATTGAAACTTTTTACCTTCAGGTGGTTATAATGTCTCTCCGGAAATCTTTGGTCACCTAATCCAACTCACCAAGTCAATTGCTCCCATGATGCTAATCCTTGAAGGCGGCTACAACTTGGAAACAACTTCCCTAGGCATGGTTAACTGCGTTAGATCGCTTCTGAGCCAACCTCTACCGATGCCTAAAATCGACAGAATACAGGACGAAGCTACCGCCGCTATGAAAAAAACCATAACAGCATTGAAGCCGTTTTGGCCGATTCTAGAAGTGAATAAAATAATTGATCCAAAAATACGTCCATTTAACGAATTGGATGAATCTTGTATTACATTTGACGAAGAAAAATGAGTTTCTAAAAAATCGGCATATTTCTTGAGCAAAATACTCATTCAAATATTTGAAGTTTTAAGTGTTTTAACCGAGGTTTTAACATTGATATTATGTAGTTGATTTGACTAAATTGAATTTTTGTGGTCTTTTTTTCCAGATTTTTTATATTTTTTATTTTTTAATACATATACATATTTTAATATATTTCAATTGTACACTTTTTTGTTAAGTTTGTTTTTAAAAGTTTATTCCAATTTTTGTCTAGATATGGTTAACTTTTTATGCTATGGTATGTCTTCAATGCAAATACTTTTATGTTTCAATTGAACATATTTTGAGTTTTTTTTTACTATGGTGACATCCTACTCATGAGCAGTTCTTATTTTGCGATGAGATGATTCGTTTAAATGCTCAAAATTTATTGGCTCATTGTAATGGTTGACCGAGTGCAAATCAAAACTTGGTGCATGAAAAAAAAAAAATTGCGATTAGATACCTACTTTATGTATAATATTAATCATGTTTCGTGTATGTTCCAAAATGACTAAGCTTTGATTTGTTCTTCCATAGCATCAAAAGTTTCTTTCTGTTGATGTAATGTGAATATAAGCACTAATGTATTAATTAATGCAGCTGACTTGTCTAATATTTGTTACTAATACCAAAGACTGACATTTTTGAGTGATATCATTTTTTATTCGTTTGTTATTTAGCACCTCATCAGTACAGTGTAGGATCTACGGCCAAAACCACAGCGATACTTGACTAAAACTTGCGGTAATCATTCACAGCTGATTGACCTGGTCCTACACTGCATTGAGCTAAAAGAAAACCGAAACGCGTCTGTACTTGGATCCGCATAAAAACTGTGTACCGGTTTGATATAATTTGACTCTTTAATTCCATTTATTATCTTTACTTATGTTATTTGTTCTAAAAAATCTATTAAATACTTATTTTATTAAATTTGTGTCTTTTTTTTACATTGTTAAATAAAAACGTCTCCGAGATTTAACAGTTCATGAGTGTTTGGTCAAAACTGTCAAAATCTATAATCAGAAATTACACTCGTTTCAAATTGGAGGTCTTACACCAGAGTCTTGAATCACACAGTGTTGCTTTGATCAATCTAAAGAAACAGACAACCTGGAAGTATAAAAACTTTCCTCTATACATTATTTAACTTTTGGAAATGAAAGAGTGAAAACAATAAATTAAACTCTTGACATTTTAAGTTTATTTATTAACAGAAAACATACATATTTTGAAAGGCACAACAATACATACATAAATTTAATTGAAATGGACACTTTAAGTTAGTCTTGGATAACAATTATTGCTGAGGTATGTTGACAATTGACAGGTGAAGATCATGAAATGGTCAAACGACATAACTTTAAGTGTCTTGTGTGTTTTTGAAAATACAATAATGATAATAATTACAATATAAGGGTGTAAAAAAATTATCTCTCAAGTCAGATTAGTGAAATTAAATCCAACGAATTTGTTCTGAGTTTCTTTGGCAGTGATCCTATGTCCTCCATATGAAAAGTTACATAAATTAGATATTAAATTAGAGTAGAATTTCGGCAAGAAGTATTTTACATTTTGAGCACGAGTAAGCCAGCAACTTGTTGATCAGCATTTCTCTTTTATAATCCAGTAAGCATTCTTGCCAAAATTCGTTTATTCAATAATCAAAACAATAAATATTGCTCAACATCAACACAACTAAAACTTATCACTTCTGCATATCACAGAACTACTAATATTAATTGGTGTTTAAAGTTTTTCAGAGAATTATCTATGCTTGATCTTGATCTAGATGGACAAGTTATATAAAAGAAAAATCAGTTGTATCAAATCGTATAACTTCTGTCTTAATATTTGTTAAAAGAAAAATATCAAGCACAGATTTGAAATTTTATAAAAGGCACATTGTTAAAATTGAACATAAAAAACCAGTAGTTTGGCAAAGTTTCATAAGAATAACTACTTTAATTTTATTTCGTACTTGTTTTGATAATAATTTAATACTGATTATACATATTTCATTGTGTACGAAATAAAATCGGTATAGGATTCACCCATTACTTTCCTCGTATAAGCTGGAATTTTTTTTTCAATAAGTAATAATTAATGACTAATCTTGACAAAATAAATGATGAATATTTTATAACGGAATGATATGTCCAGTGTTGTAAATTATTCATGTATCATAGTATAAAAATAAAAATGGCTCAAGGGAAACAATATTAATAAAATTGAACCCAAAGTTATGATTTGGCGCGTTCAGCATAAATACAGTGTTAGCGAAACATGTAACATAACAAATTGAAACTATATTAGTTTTCACTTTTATAGAAACAAAAAAAACCATAATCTAATATTACTAATTACAAACCTGCTTTGCGAGGAAAATAAATGGAATAAAACCTACCTTGTACCCTGTAGATATGAAGATACGCTACTTGCATATTTTAAATAGCTCTTCACTCTATTTTTGGTCAGAGAAGACTAGTAAACTCACAAATGAAAATAACTTAATCATAAAATTTCCCTATACATAGTAACCAGGTGAATATTTTTGTCTGGGACACAAATACAACCTAACACATACTTTCAGCTCTGGGATCACATTTTTATATCAAATGTCAGTAACTATATACTCATAATAGTGTCCTGGCCTATACGTTAGCTCATTCAAGTACCTACACGTAGGATAAACTTAAGATAGCAAATAATAACAAATTTATGTCCCAAAAAAAAATTCTACTCAGTACATAAATCGATTCAATAATATTATATCATCCAAATTTTCCCCTGGTTCAATTCAATATCTATTATTAATTTCATGAAAAAATAGCTCTTCAATTAATTATTCTACTACAGAAAAAATAAAATTACAAAAAATATCTAAGAGTATTTTTTTCAACTATAACCCACTGTAAAATAGTGGGTCAAGCTTAAACAAATTTGAGATGTGCTCATTTTAGAGTGATTTTAATAATTGTATTTCCTATGGGGTTCATTTTATGTGCCTAAAAATCGCCACTGACAAAATACTATATTGTTTTATTAGGAGTAAAAATTATACTTTTTGTGGCGAGACTAAATGTTTGATGGCCGAACGTAGTGGGGCCGACAATTTTAGACGAGCCACAAAAAGTGATTTTGTCCGAATAAAACAGGCGGTTTTTTCCGCAAACGGTGTTCAAACGATGGAATCAAGGAAATAAATATTGTCAAAAATGATAAGATGTAGAAAAACGTGAAATTAGATTCTTCTTACTGGTTTTGTGGTTGTTAAATTTCTGTGAATTGACTTTTTTGTCCAGGCCGTGTGCGTACAAAAAAGTGTACTCAATCAGTCACGGTTGGACACAAAAGTAACAAAAAAATGACGTTTGTGAAATCAAACTTCAACATTAAGAAATGAGGTTAAAAAAGTCGTCATTTTCTGACGCTTTCGGAAAAAAATTATTAGATTCCCTAGAAAGTTCACTGGTGATTTTTAGGCACGTAAAAACGTATTATTATCTCAAACTTGTTCTAGCTTGTACAGCTGGAACTAAAATTCGCCTAATTTAATTGCCCTAAATTTTCTAGACCTCTGTCTTCAGAAGATATGGAAGCTTCTTCATTTGTTTTATAAGGAAGACCATCATTTATCTAAAATTAGAGGACAGCAACTTTAATTGTCTTTTTTTTTATGAACACTTGATAACCTAGAAGAGGACCGGACCCACAAGATGCCTATTAAATAAACAACTAATTACCACAAATTTAGTGAAATCATCAGTAGTATAATGGGTGTAGAGCAAATTCAATCAGAAATAATAAGATATACATAGTTGATTTTGAATTGTCAAACCAGCTGAGGCCAGTGTTTTTTTTTTTGCATTTCACAACATAAAATACATGACACAGCAGAAACATTTCAACCTTTGTTTCCTATGTGGTATAAAGCGTTTGGCCTCTTCTGGGTTATAAGTCAAATACTAGCACCAAAATTATATTTCTTTGAGTTTGCTAAATTAGGCTTTTTCAGACATACTGATTTGAAACGATATTAATTCCTTGCCCAAATACAATTATGATAAATCTTACCTCTCTGCGGAAAGCCTTTTTACTTCTATCTGTACCTTGATCCGATTTTTTTCTTCTTCTCTTTCTAGATGACGATTCCTGGCCACTATCTCCACCTTCAGAATCACTTGACTTCGAACTGGCGGAATCAGAGCTGGAACTGGATGAATTACTCGAACTATCAGATGCCAGTCCTAAAAGTAAAAGTTGAATATACTTGAACTAGAACTCTTCACATGTCTAGCAAACCTGATGGTTGGTCAAGTTTTGTCTTATCTGCTAAAAGAGCCAAATCTGGTTCCCTTTCATGGAGAACTTTAAGCCACCTTTTAGAAAGTTTTGGTCTACCCCTTGCAGTTTTATGCCAAACCTAAAGCAAGATGAATTTATTATGCAAAATTAATTTTTATTGATGTACTCACAATTGGAAAGTTAGTTCTGCTGCAAAAATTTTGCGTCACAGCAATTGTTGTATCCAAATTAAGTACAACATGCCACCATCCTCCAGGAACAAAAACGGTTTCTCCAGGTTTCTGTAAAATTTCAATTGGTTTGCAATTTTCAGGCCAACTAGGCTCTTTGGTTCTAGGATATACAACATTAAACCATGTAATCGCCTCATCTCTCTGCTTTCCACCTTGGGAACTAGTGACTTTCAAGAGTTCCTTAGGAGTGTGGGTTGGAAATAAGCACCATCTAATACAAGTTTTATTAAGTGACGATAAAAATTCAAATAAAATTCCTAATACCTCTTGTGTCCAATAACTAAAGCGTTCCAGGCACTTGTTCCTAGTGGGTCTATATGTATCCCAGTACCAGACCGAGCAGGTCCCATGACAAACCAACGATAAGGTGGTCTACGTTTTTCACCTGCATACTTGAATAGATCATCCCGAAAGTATAAGGGCACTTCATAGTCTTCTAATAATTTTTTTCTACGACGGTGCTAGAAAAAGCACAAAAGGAAATTTTACTTAGTGTAATTTTTTTGATTTTATGGTGTCATTTTTAATTTTAAAGTTTCCGTACATAGGAAGCAGGCTAGCTTTAAAAAATTAATTCATAAAAAGGATTAGGAATATAAAATTAGTACTCACTTCACCAAAATTACTATCAAAAATATATAAAGGACTATCATCTTTAGTATTGAGCATGTAATGAACATAGTATTTCATTTTCATTTTGACACTGTACCCTTCATTGTCTTCGCCACATTTGAATTTTTGATTCCTATACTTTTTACACAGCTTCTGTAAAGTCCATTTCTGATTTGCCCGCCAATCTTTTTGCGACTCAGTTATCACAACAGGTTTATAAGGACTTTCGTATTCAGCAACAAATTGCTCTGGTGGTGCTTTTGACTGGTTGATTCGATCACAATTATCGCTAAAATTGTGGAAGTGCTCAAAGTTGTTTGCATAGTTCTGTTGGTACCAGGATTCTTTCGTGCTCAATTCTAAAAAAAAAAAAAAAACTTTGATTATTGTGAAGCAGTAGTGGAGAGTTTGTGTCAATCAAATTGTTGTATAAATGACCTGTTTTTACAATTTGGACAAACAGGATGAAATGTTGTGCTTGCAGCATACGTATTCAATTTAAAAAAAAAATAACATGTCAAAACTTCTGAAAAAATTATCTACCTACAAAAAAAGAACAGAAATTGGTTAACCTTTAATGATATCAGCCACAATCTTTTTGTGGATTAAACTACCAAAAAAATAGCAAGAATACCCTTGAAAGAATAAAATAATTCTATAATACTCGAGATATTACTATAATATTGTTCCTCCAATTATCCTCCTTGTCAAACTAAGAAGTTATTCAATTTTCGCATAGCTCATTACTGCATAAGCGAAATGGCCAAATTTTCATAATCATTATAAATCAATAGCATTTGTTATCAATGATCAGGTACTAATCATGAACATTCTTAACAAATAGGAACCATTTTATCAGCAAATCACATTATAGATTTATAGAATATAATTTTTGGGTACCTATTGACATAAAATCACATCACATTATCATGACTCTACTGCTTGCTCTACTGTATAACAAAAAAATAACAAATCAGGTTATGTCAACCTTTCAAATTTTTTGTAGTGACATTGGTCGCTTTTTTCAGAATAAAATCGTATTTCATTAGCTGTTTTCATTCATTGCTTTTCCTATTACCCTTTCAACTGATTATTTGTTATCATCAATCACATATTATTATTCTAATCCCAAGGTTGCAAATATTTATTATTGCCCTCCAGTTCAAACAACATGACCATGAATTTTTACCAAGAACTGTTCCAATTTCAATTTATTTAAGAAAAAAAAATACCATAGAATTATTATTTTGGTCATGAATAATCCTTGGAATAATCATGATATACTAGATTTGACACTATAATAATATGACATAACACCACAGCCTAAGCTACTGCCACCCTTTGTTGACAAATAAAATTCAAACAATAAGAACAAAAATTATCGAGCAAATCATTTTCCAACAGTATCATTCTTACAAACATATGAAATTAATTTCTCCGATATTCTTATCTTGAGTGAGTGCTATCAATCAGATTAATTAACTGAATTCTCAATGCAGGGCTATACAGCTTTCTATGGAAATATTACCAAAACGATAAAATTCTTATATTGGTAAAATCAAACTTGAACGGCACTGTCACAAGCTCGAGAACACCAAAATATCAATATATAAGATTAGTTCAATTCAAAATAATGTAACATAGTGCATTATAGATGAGTTTATCGGAGATCTATACATATATCTCTGAAAACATGAAAATTATTCTGGAGGATATTAATATAAATTTCATGGATAGTGTGAACCAGAGGGTAATAAACTATTTATCGACTCTGGGTTTATATAGTTTTTGGCTTCATCCCAAGAATTTCCAGAAAAAAATCAACACAGTAGCGTCCGCATAGACCAATACTCTCAATGTCAGGATTGCAGACTAGGGTTTTTATGTTAATGTTCAAGAGTAATACAGTACCTAGGGGTACTCCTATTTTGACTTGTTTAGGTCGAGTAGAACATTGCCAATCTTGACATTAAGAAAGTAGCTTCTCTGTTTAAAGAATCGGTGTTCTTCATTGCAACAGATACAACGGAAAATCTCTCTTAAAAATCTGGTAGAGGTTAGAGGGAATGAAACAATGAATGACGAACGGCTCAAAAATAAAAAGATTGGATTAAGTAAACCTTTTTCTTTTCAGGACAATAATAGGAACAACAAACAACTGGTTATGCTGAATTTAGTTGGTGGTTAGGTGGTCTTTCCCACCTAACCACAAACTAAGATCACTAGAAAATATGCTCATATTTGCTGTTTTTGTGTTTATTTGATTAAGTTAAATATTGGCGACAAAAATGTAAGCTCTCAAATAAAAATATACTTGCCTAGTGGAGCAAAAAATACAAATTGGGGCAACAAACTGTAAAAATAGTAGCTTTGAATACTTTGAGGTTATCAAACACTTACCAGGTCTTGCTTTTCGTTTTACTTCTTTTATACGTTTTCTTGCCCTATAGTCGACATCCATCACTTGAATTTTGAAAATTTTAAAATAAAAATTTCAATAACTAAAAATTTAGAATTATTATATTGAAAACAAAAGCAAGCTGGATTTATAAAATAAACTTTAGAGGCCTGCGCCAGCGCTCATGCTCGGATCCACTCCAAGTTCGAGCTCGAGTTCGCGTTGAAAACGAAAACCTTTTTTGGCTTTCGGTCCTGGCTGATTCTGTGATTCAGCTGATTGGAAATTCAAAATGGCGTAGGCGTTAAATAAAAATATCCTACCCAAGAGTTCTTTTCACGTGGCTCCGGTTTAAACTAACCGGGTTACAAAACGGTTAGAGAAATGACATACCGTTTTCTAACCCGGTTACAAAGTTACTTGATGGATACCTACCACTCGAATTTGAGCTGTATGTTGCGGTTTGTTAAACCGGAGCCCCGTGAAAAGGATTAAGGCAAGTACAAACTATAAACAAATGAAGAAAGGTTAGATTTTTGGTATCGCGTTGTAACTTCCTTGCGTTCGGTATTTTGCTCAAAGAGCAGAGCGTGCTGAGCGGAGCCGTAATCACGTGACCAGCGAGCTAACAGAGCACTTGAACGCTGTATCAAAAAGCCCGAAATTTTAATAAACGAACGCGAATGATCCTGCACCGAGTACACTTTTTGAATAAACGAACGGTAAATTCAAGCTCGGAGAACTTAGATCAAAATACCGAACGCACGGCTTGTAGTGTTGCCTATGCAAATAGATTTTTCCCATGATTCCAATGTTGAAATAGGTCTGTTCCAGCACTTGAAAAACCTGAACGATTTTTGAAACTACTCCAGAACACGAATTTTGGATTCTACCCACAAATTTTACGTGTAGGTAAATTGTACAGTTGATTGTACGATTTCTTGCTGTGAGTTGAACAAAGCTAAAAGTGAAATGAAATGACAAATGAATGATGATTTTGACCGATTGCAGTTGAAAAATACTGGGAAAGTCTCAGTAGCTGGGACACGTTCGAAAACAAGGTTCTTGCACCAAATTCAAATTTTTTTGGATTCTACTCTCTTATTTTAAGAGATTTGTTCCGACTTAGTTCAGAATCACTTCTGAATTGAACTGCGCTTGCGCATTTGTTTATCAATGTGCGAATCCCCAGCTGATTGATTCGGAGTTTTGAAAAATTCCTTGGTTTGCAGCATCAGTTTTGAACTGTTCTAGGACTGTCCGAGCATTACTCTTATTTGAGTTAAGTAGAAGTAGAAACTGACAATGACGACAAAAAATGATAAATTATTTATCAGTTGAACTCGATGAGAACAAAAACCCGTGTCCGCTCTCCAGTCCAGTGTAGGAAGTTGACGCTCGGAGCACGAGCTTTGAGGTCACGAACAACACAAATATGGCCGGGCACTAGAACCTAGCACGGCCAAATAAATTTTCGAAGGCCAACCAGTCAGTTTTCATTCCCTTTTGTTCTAACGTTTTCAAAATATAGTGTGGATTTCTACAAAATAATTTACATATGAAGCTACACAAATCTAAGAAAGAGAGTAGCTCCCAAAGGTATGATTTTGTAAAATCCAAGTGCTCGAAATTTTCTTGTAACAAGTTTTTTTCAAAAAAATTCCGCAAAATGATACGGAGTTTCGCACTTTAGGAGTTGGTTGCCTTGCTCCCGCCCGGAGTGCTCCAGAACACGATCAAAGCCGTTTTCTTGGGCAATGGTGTTTCCATTGACTGTTTCAAACCGGTTTTGAACGAATATTAAAAAAGTGGAGGCGAGAAAACGAATAAGGCTCGTCGTCATTCGCGGACTGTCACTGAACTAGAGGATATAGTCAACTGGGTTAAGAAACGCCCCAACCAAGGTGAACTATGACAATTGTTATCTCCATATGATTTATGTTTTGATTTTGCATCACGTACATTCGTCGTTTATTTCTTCATTTTCTTTGGGAATTGGATTTGCATTTGATCATGGATCCAGCTACCTTTTTTAAAATCGTTGTGATGGTCTCAGAATTTAAAAAAAAACACACCATGAAACTATCGCGCAAACTTTACCTAGCCGATTGTGAACGCTGGTGAAATTTTACCGGGTTGAAGCATCCCGATTCGTGAACGACAAAGCTTATGCCCGTATTCACAGTCGATGCTCAAGGTTGCGTCTTGGCTCGAGTACGACTTGACGCCATATTTGCTATTCCAAACAACATGGAACGATGGTCACAACTGTCAAAAATCGGAGCTTGAGCCAAGCACCCGTCTATGAATACCGGGCTTATTAATTCTCACTTGCGCGAAATTCGCTCTTTTTTTGACATTGCTTCGACAATTTGACGTCATTGAACTAAACAAACACTCAGGAACGGGCGCACTGCTTTATGCTAGTGTGCCGAATTTTGATATATGCAACCCAGCAATACAGAGGGATTATTGTCTCGCTCGCACTCATTGCGATTAACGTAAAAAAAAGAAGAGCTTCTTCATCTTCCTTACCTCAATGATCCAAACACTTCAAACAGCTGTTCTCAATAGCTGCCATAGTGCAGAGAGAGATGCAAATCCCACTTGTTTGTTGTCCTTCCTGGCAGAAACCCTTACGTAGGGAACATTATGCAGCCACCGTTCCAGTGTGTTTGTTTAGTTCATTGTTTGACGTTTGACACATGCATAAAACGTCAAAATGTCGAAGCAATGTCAAAAAAAGAGGGAATTTCGCCTAAAAAGAGCGAATTTCGCGCAAGTGAGAATGAGGCTTATTCGAGCGCTGGAACGCGCACGGAGCGTGCCCAGAGTGCGCCCGGGCGTCTCTTGTCAATGAACTATAACCAAAAACTGGAATGCTAACACATAAGGACGAACTTGAAGCCTAGTGCGGCTGCTGCGGAGGGGATACCTGTTTTTGTCGCACTCATTATGTTAAATGGCGAAAATTGCTTCCAACACGTATTCCAATTGATGAAACCTGTGAAGGGAAATATGACAAAACTTTCGAAAACGTCATATGTCAGCAAGCAACAGAAAAAAACAACATTCCCCTTTGTGGCATCTATCTTTCATGGCTACATTTTTTTGGCAGATATGGCAATGTGTGCGCATTCCAGTTTTTAGCTATAGTTCATTGTCTCTTGTAAATGCAGCCCCGCACTAGATTTGTACCGTTCCAGGCTATGTTCCGTTATTAACTGCAAGTACGGATTTTACTGTCATTTGCCGTTCCGATTTCAACAGCGTACTGTTTTGCTGGAAAAAAAAAGTACAGGAGGGAGATCGATTCTATCATTACGATCCGACATACGACTCGACAACGAGACACAACTCGATACCGACCCTGTCGTCTCGAAAGGTATGATTCCACTAAGATTCCAACCTAGGATCGTCGGAAAAAATGGTGTCATTTACGAGTCGTGTGTCGAATCGTGATTCTAGAATACCCATTCAGTAAATATTATTGACGTCACTTGCGCATTCAAAACGTCACTCAGTACTGTCAGTATACTGAAAATAATATCGGAACGGCGTCCAGTAAATTCAGTACTGACAGTTGATATCGGAACTGTTCCGATATCAACATAGCCCCAGTATCATGGCGTGAGACGCGTTGAAGGCATTCCGGATGTCAAGTGTCAAATGTGTCAAAATTTAAAAATATAAATATCGTTTGTTTATTTATTTCTCAAAAATGGAGAGAATCAAAATTATATTTTGGAAATATTCGATCCCCAGGGGAAAAAAACATTTAAAATCTTAAATTAACAAGAAATAAATGATAAATGAATGAATAGCAATGAAGTAGAAAGAAAGTTTAGAATGGGCTTTGCGTCATTTTATTGAAATAGCGCTAGTAAGGGCAAAAAATCTATTGGATCTCCCATATCTCTCTCTCTAACCCTGAGTCAGATAGCGCTAGTGAGGGCAGGAAAATCTCACGGATCTCTCCTGTTCTCTCACTCTAATGTTGGCCGCAAATATATGTATTGAGTAGATAGGCAAAGGGCTATTTCCAACCTTCTTAATAAAAAGCAACCCACAGATTAGATTCGACAGCAGACCAAGGATAATAGACACTACTAGGATTGCTTATCGAATTCGTTCTTGGTAATCGCCGCCATATTGGTACGTTACCATTTCCGACGTCTTCAGCTGTTTGCACTAGCGGTCGTAGTTTAGAATTTAAATTTATGCTGAAAATTTAATTTTGATTAACATGAGGATAGGCTATCCTGAAGCAAGGATGATACACACTACTACTGCTACAGGATGGCCTATCCTCATATGGCCTGTATGTAACAAAATCCCCCCACCGCCAAATTACCAGTTGTGACGTAGCAGCATGTTATTTCTCGCCTTGACGTAGGCTGTTTAAACAGCTGACGACTTAGTTATTAGAAAGTTTTTTTCAGGTAATGACCAACGTGAATACAGAGACACTACGGACACAGCTGACGACTTAGTTATGACGTAGGAAATGGTAACACACATTTCCGCCGATTGCCAAAAACGAGGCCGATAAGCAATCCTGTAGGTGTGTATCATCCTTGACCCTGAAGCAGTAAGTGTGTATTATCCTTGTCAGCTGATAGTTTGTGGCGTGGCGCCGCGTATCGTTTCGAATAAGGTTGAACATCCCGCCCCAGCTCGGGAGCTCAACGCTACGAGTAGCTCCGAGTTTCATATCCCCATACGGGAAAGCAGCTGTTTTTTTGCTCTAGAGTGAGGTGAATGAGCGACTATATTCAAATGCGACGTCTCGATGCCTTCTGCGTCTCCTTCAGTTGTAGAAAAAACGACAAATAATACGGCCTACCATGACTTATTGTTTAAATTAGATTAGATTTATTCTTTGCATACCATTTTTATTACTGTCCTTCATTATATCTTTTTTCACTATCACTTAAACAAACCTTAAGTATAATTTAGTTGGAATAACTATAGGTACCTAGTTATAGTTTCATGTAATCTTTTTACTTCCCACGCACGAGATTTTCTCTTGTGGGGTATATTTGGTATTTATTGTTACTAGCCAAACCTGTATATTGAATGTGAAAAATTACAATAAATGCTATATAATAATAATAATAATAAATGTCATAAATAAAGTAAGCAATGCTGGAGCTAAAAATGTTTCCTGAAATTACCTAGGTACGATAAAATTATCAAAATTGTAATTGAAAGTTACTACTACAAATATATTCAAAAGTTTTGTATCACCCTAAATCTCCGAAAGTATTTTTTTCTCAGGAAACATGGATTAGAGACAAGTATTTTTAAATCAAAATCAAAATTTACAAATTGAT